GAACTTTCTAGAAACAAAACAAGCCAAGAAGTATCTTGACTTCATTTTTTCCCCTCTCTCTCTTTTTTTTTTTTTCCAAGCAAAAATTAATCAAGCATTATCTGAATTTCCAAATAGTTTACTTCTCCTGAAGAGGGGACCTTTTCTGGTGACTAAAAGCATATTTGTACAGTACCCATTTTAATTTCAAGCACTTATAACCAATTAATTAAAAATCAACAACAGGGGAGAGGCAAAGTTAATGCTGCTTTCTGAGATCAGACTAATGTTGAGATCAGACTTTTGTTACAGCTGAGAAAAAGTCCTTTGGGGATTGCCTGAACCTGATACTTGACAAGAGGACACCAGCTATCTCTGTACTGAATGGAATATTTAACTTTAGTCCTATTAAATTACATCCAAGCACTGCAAGTGCACAAACGTACAAGGCTACAAAAGTACACAGATGCTGGGAAATACCAGTTCTATCATGCTGTTATAGTCAATGCTGCAATGAGAAGAAAGAAATACAAGTCAGACAGGTTTCTTACATCACCCTTTATTTATTTTTATTTTTTGTCTTTGGCTTTGGCTCTGCTAGTGGTTCTACATGCAAGTCCCTTGTCATTCCATTTGTGACCGTGTCTCCTCAAAACCTATACCTGATCATGAGTCATCCAGTGTATATCCCCATATGCATCTTGCCTATCCTCTGCTAAGTCCTGGGAGAGGGCAGACAGGCTAAATGAGAGGGGAGAAAGGACTGTAGCAGAATCCTTGACCTTGTTACAGAAGTACACGCAGCCAGTAAAACAGGGATGGTTCTGACAGATACCAGTTTGACTGTCTCTGTCTTTGCTTCAAAGAAGCAGAGGTAACCGCTGCTTTTCTCCACTTCTTTTGGTTGGTACCAAGTTCTTTTGAGTTAAAGCCATCAAAGCAGGGCATTGTCCCATCGCTTTCCTTAAGCAAACTCCTTGGGAGTACATGCAAATGAAAAGTTCAGGCTATCTACCATATTATTGCATTCCCATCAAGTGTCTGTGGTCACTCCTAAGAGCCTCATAGCTCTCAGTTCTCTGTCCAGGTCTCAGCCCACAGTCCTCCTGTCACTGGGGAGTTTCCAGTTTCACCTGAGCTTCATGTTTTGCTGCTCTATCCTTCTCAGCTCCCTACTTGATGGAACACTTTTCTCACCTTAGTTTCACTAGCCATGCCAAAATGCCCCCCTTTCCACACCATTGGGAATGGTCCCAAGGTAAACAGTCACATGCTGAAGAAAAGTGAATGTATGTTCACTTGTTTACCTGACTGATTGAATTAATACTGTTAAGAGAAAGCTAAAAAACCTACTCTAAACAGAAACAAAACAGCACTAACATGCATATGTTTCTTACCTTTGTCTTCTCTGCCAGTTTTCACATCCTCTGCTGCTCTCTTTAAGGACGTGATAAGGATATTAACATCAGCACTATGAACTTCACATTCAACAAAAATGTCAAGATCATCAGCAGAGTTCTTGGGCTTTTTGGCTTTCCTGGTTTCAAAGTGATGGATCTGAGTTTCAAACATCTGCAAGAGCCAGATGTTGATATGAGGCTTGTCAAAAGACTGAAAAGCCAAATAAATCTAGAAGCACTTATACAATATCTTTAAAAGATGACTAAAAGAGGTATTAACAAGAAGTACATGTTAAGCAATGAAGCCTAGAAATGCCCAGTTTAGAAGGAGCTAAAATACATGCAGGGCTAAACTGTAAACACAGTAGAATTACGTAGAGAGAGATGGAGATGAAAGATGGGATACTGTTGATTGTGGCATTTCATCTGTGTAGAAATAGCAAATGAGTGACTGGGTAACTCTTGAGAGCCTGGCAAAATGAAAGCAGATCTACTGATGTATAATAACACCATAATCATTAAATAATTGCAAACAATTAAAAATAAGTAACAAATACAATGCTTTTCTTTTGAGATATTCGTTTTCACAGATGAGAGTGAGCACCTGGTAGGGGTACTTCATGTGCCCAGAATATATAATGCGTATATGGTTTACAGCTCTTGTGTTCTCTATGTCTCCTGTCAAATATGCAGGAAAAATCACTGGCTTCTAACAACACCACAGTCAGTACTTGAAATGCTGGCCTGTTTTTTAGTCATGGCTGGCCACCACAATTGCTAGAAACAGACAATAGACTGGTATCTGCTATGAACCGTTCTTGCATAAAATGACAATTCTTCTAAATGATTGTGTCTAGCTGCTTCCTCCCTGCAGAGCGCTATCCTCCATCTAGAGAGGCCAGTCAAGCTCTCTAAGCCTCTGAAGCACAATAGGGACAAGAAGGAAGGGAGAAAGCAGACGGAGGCATAACTCGGGGGCACAGGCAAGCAGAAGAACAGCAGTAAGAGAGGGGGAGATGCAGAGTAGGAGAGGTGAAGGCAATAGGGACAGAAGAGGTGGGTCAGTGGAGAAAGGGGATGGAAGGTGAGTGGCAGGGTCTGTACCTCAAAGACTTTGGCTGCCCTGGAGAGCTCAGTCTTCCTCACATTGCAGAGGGTGAGGGTCAGGATGAGAGTGGCTCCACCATCCTTCTTGCTGGAGTCAAGGCTGCCTTGCCTGTTCAAGGGTTGTATGCTGCGCATCACCTTCTCCTTGCTGGCCTCTTCCCTCTGGCCTGAGATCACCCCAAAGTCAGTCTTCATTGGGAGCCAGAGCAGAAGACTGCAACTGCAAGATGTTCAGTGAAAACTTCCTGAGGTTGTGTGTAGTTCTACCAGAGTAATGGCTGGGGATTGTGATGGGACTGGAGATGCAGTGGGACTACGTGGGTGGTGAGACCAGAGCTGCCAGATGGCAGTGATGCAAGCTGGTTCCTACTGTGTTGGATGTAGAACCATTTATGTCAGCCATGCCAGACACATCAAGGGAAACTGCCTGCGTAGGATCTGCGTAAGAGCCCAAGATAACCCCCCTCTTCTGGATAACTTCAAAGCAGGGCCCTCCCCCTCTGTTTGAAGGTGTCTGCAAGCCATTCACCCCCGGAGATGGGCTCCTTTGAGGAGAGGCAATTAGCCTGAGTACCATTTATATTTCCTAGTCTGGACTGCCCTACACCGTTTCTCAGATAGCGCTTCCTCCCCATTCTCTCTTATCTCAATGGGGACCCATCTGCATTGGCCATGCCCCCAGAGAATCAAACAGGCTCTTGCCCCACTTCCTAGTCCAATCCAAGTGGTGTCCCCTTTGCACTGACACAATTGTGGGATTGCCAGAAAGATCTATCTGAATCAAAATCAAATCTCATTGCCTACTTCTGAGCTCTTCCTGCCCACAGGCTGACCTGTCCTTCTCTAGCCCCACATAGGCTGAGTGCAGTCTGCCCATTAAGCTGGCATCTTAGCTGGCTTCCCAAGTTATAGCGTGCCCCTGTGAAAGTCATCTTGTAGGCCCAAAAGGAAGGCCAGCCACTGTTTTGTCCTCCCTTCACAAATGGAGCCATTTTCTGTGTGATCCTTAGCTGGTCCTGGATGGGTCTCACACCTCAGTAATGAATTTCTCCTAGCTCCTCCCTGGCCTGGGAAGTTAAATATGACCTGGAGACCATGGCCACACTGCATTTCTCCTTAGCCCATGAGGCCAGGGAAGACCTCAATCCTCCTAGCTATTCCTTGGCCAAGACAGACAAACCCAGGGCAAATTTCAGAGCACCATGCCAGGAAGGCAGGTCTCAGCGTCCTCAGGAACACCCGTCCACCCAGACCTAGGGAACCCTGGGCTCTGCAGGGTGGATGAGTGCCAGCCTGGGAAGCAGGGTCCTCACAGCTGTGCATGGCCCAAGACCAGGTGCCACAGGGCCTGACACTGCCCATGGAACGGGCAAGGCTGAGATCCTGAACCCAGCCAGGCTTCAGGATCTGGCAACTTCGTCTGCCATGGGCTGCCCCCAACCCTACACCCCTGGCCCTGCTTATGTCCCAAAGAGGCATGTCAGAGAGGTCTGTGCAGAGCCCACAGAAGCACCAGGCTTAACTGCATCTGTAAACCAAATAGGATAGGGAAGGTGGGGGGAAGAAAATAGGCTTCGAGGGGGGGGAAATGCTGTTTCCACACCCATGTTACCATAGTAGAGGTGGCAAGGCTGGGCATGAAGGAGCTGATACAAGTCTGACTGTCTGAATCCAGACTGGGCCTTCCCCATGGAAAGTGGGTTCATGCATCCCCACATTCAGGTCACAGGCATGGCACAAACGACAAGTGGCACAAGCTCTATTTTTCCAGCCTGTTCTCTCCTGAGTCTTTGCACTGCAGGTGAAAGCCCTAGGTCTTGAGATGTATGGCTATGGCACTGGTCACAAGCATTAAGAGGGCTGAACCATCAGGCTCTTATGGTTGTCTTAACAACCTAGTGTCAGAGTCCCATTATCTCCATACTTGTACAACATGAAGCAGAATGGTCCTGTGTATATAAATTGAGGTTTCTCAGTAGACCCAGACTGGCGTCATAAGTCACCTTAGACAGTTAGAGCACAATAAACAAAGCTTGCAGTGCAGCTTTGTAGCCCATTGCAGATCCAGCACAGAGAGATGTGGGTCCCAAGTGGTAACATGTCCTTCCCCAGCCAGTGAATGCTCTACTGCCACCTTGGATCCACACTCGGGACAGGCCCAGAAAGGCTCCATACATGGTTTCCTGGTGTAAGTCAGCTTTCCTAGGACATCCCATTGCCAGAGTGTTGGTTTCAGCACTTTTGGGGACCTCTAGGAGTACAGGAGGAGAGGTTTCAGGTTGAATGTTGCAGTTTAAAGGGCTATGCAAGGACAGAAACACAGTGTGTTCCACAGGGACAGGCAGCTTCTCCTTGCAGAAAGTAAGTCTCTCCAACCCCAAAAGCCAGTAGGTTTATCCTCTCCTGTGCCCTGAGAGGGAAGCCATGGCTGATCACCACAGACAAGCTGTCCATTTTTGAACTGTTCCCATATCTCTACCATGTATGAACACAATGCTATTCATATGAGTTGGATGTGGCATTAACATTTATTTTTATTTTTATTTTTATTTAGGTTAATTTAAATGGTTACATTTCAACATTAAAAAAGTTTTCTCTGCCAATTGCCAGCATGGTTTGAAGAGCAGCAAAGTGACAGGCTTTAAAAGAATGAACTCCTGTGCGCTCTTCCTGTGCTTAACCCCTCTTTCAAGATTTTCTGCATCCTTTAAGGAATAAAACATCCCTACTGCAAGGCTGCTGTCAGATCTAGGCATCTTAAGATGCCCAGAGGAGACCACATCCCTATATAACTTCATGCTGATGACTTCCTGCCTCCAACACCATCACTGGCCTTGGCCAAGGTCACTGCAAAGGAAGAGGGCCTCATGAGAGGGTTCTTTGGTTACCTGAAACAAAGCTTGGAGACAAGGACATTAAGAAATGTGAGCGTGGTAAGACAGAACTGAGGAAGTTTACCTAGAAGGTAAGCTTGGGATGGGTTAGTCAGTGTAGCATACAAAGATGTACAGAGTATGCAAAGGTAAAGTAATATGTTGCTGTATATTTCTAGGTAATTACACACATCAAGGGACTTTTTTTTCAAATCTCTGCTTCCTGTTAAAGCTCCATGATCTTGTCAGGATGAGTGAAACTCAGTCACTGCAGGTTAGCCTTTTTTTTAATTGGAGCACACCTCAGATGGTCTTTCTCTCTCCCCTGTGTATTTACTTCTGATTAACTTGGGTGTTTAACTTACCTATAAGATTTATATTGTCCAGATAAATCAAAGAGCATTTTGCTACACACTTTTAATTTTCTTTAGCGTGGAAATAAGAAGTGGCCCATAAAGAAGTATCATTTTAAATGAAATTTACTTTGTATTATTTAAAGCACATTAAAACTGTTATTTTTCTTCAAGAAAATCTATTCTCAGTATATGTCCTCTACTTTTCAAATACTAAGCATTTAACTTTTTCTCATCTCTGAGTCTTTCTGAACAGCTATGTGATGATGCTTTAGCTGAGCTATTGTTCATTTACACCTACATTAATGGACTCAGAATCAGACTTGTGTCATCAATGTTCTTTAACCATTCCACCTGCACATAAAAGACAATCATGAATCCTGTGTTCTTAACATTTCCATCGATTTACCACTGCTATCATGCAGAACAGAAATCAAAAGCAGAGGAGCTTGGAAAGCTGCCTGTGGATTAGTTTGAAAGACTTCACCCTTGGGATGAAATTGTCTTTTTTGGTACAGAGTTACCTTATGGGTCCTATTATATAAAGAGAGAAAAATATGGGTTATTTTCACACTGAAAATACATGCCAAGAACTGAAAATTCTACATAGACCTTGTCATAGGAACAAAAAAAAAAAAAAAAAAAAAAAAAAAAAGAAAGATACAGAGATAAAAAAGCTTACTTCAAAGCACCTAAATGATTCCATTTTGCATAAGTATACTTCTACAGAAAAGGTTTCCAGCTGGTATCCATAGATTAATGTTATTAGCCACCATAAATATAATGGAAACAGCTGTACTTTCTGTCTTCCTAGAGGATGATGCTTAGACTGAAGCTCCACTGATTTTCAATCTATAAATACAAGAGTAGTACAATAGTAGGTACTGAACTTATGAATTTTCAAATCCCCCTTCATCTTTGGATCTTCTAACAGAAATATGACTCTTGAATCATGTTGGTATCATAATGCAGTACTGTTTCAAGGTGGAAATACTGTTCTGCATTTCTTTGGTTGATTCAGTTCCAATATACAAGTGCTGATCTCTTTTCTTCAACTGGGGAGCTACAGGAAGGTATTATACAATGTGGACCAGTCCAAGAGAGCATTTAGCTGTCTTGAATGAAAGTTATTGGAGAAAATACAGAAATAGGCTTCTGAACATCAAAGCTCTTCTATCTCTATGGCTCATCTGGGTTAAACTAGAAACACCCTTGTTTCGATTTTCTGCCTCAGTCAAGCTATACTCCAGGCAGAACAAAAGTGCTTTAACAAAAGGAGATTTAAACTCAGGCGGGGGAAGGGAGGAGACTCCAAAAAGCATAATGATTGAAGATTTGTCTTGAATTATTCTGTCTGTGAATTTGAATACATTCAGATTGGGGACACAGGCTAACCGTGTCTCCTATAGCGTTGGTGGGGACTCTAGCCACAGATACGGTGAATTAGGAATCAGAAGGCTCTGATATCTTCAGCTGCATTAAAAGACACAATTCTCCTTCATTTCCAACAGGAAGGGTATTGTTATCCACCTGGATTATGAGCCCAAAAAGTTTGGAGATACCTTGCAGCGGTGCTGAATAAAGCACCCACTCTCAGGACACATACTGTACAAGGTAACCTTCACACCTCAGCTTTCCTCAGTGAGTAGCTGAATAAGTCAGTTTAGAGAGCTCTCCCCTTTCTGTCAGCTTGTTGAATCAGCTCTAAGACAATTATGTTACACAAGGTTACAGCCATCACAGCTCTAAGATTGGGCTAATAAGGCCTTGATGACATGCTAAAACTTCTGCATTATTTTTTATTTGCACAGAGTATTGGCAAAGTGACCTAGCATCCAACAGCAAAAAGCCACACAGATGTGTCTTTTGGTAACTGTTCTCTGAAAAGGCCTTTTTGTGGGTACTGTACTGAGGCATGGACCCCATGCTCTGGATAAGCAGTCTCAGTGCCTTGCTTAGGGACTCCATTCTGCAAATCAATGACAGAACACAGCATAAAGTATTCTTGACCTACACAGACCTTTTTGGGATTAATCATTGTGCAAATACAGTATATTTGTGTGTGGCAATACATCTTTGTTAATGAAGCTGCAGCATATTTGCTGTTTTTTCTACTAGCATCTATGCTGTTTATCAATGGCAACATCACACTTCTAGAAAAAAAAATATTTCACGATAGAGGTGCTCGTGTAAATGCAGTACAGTTTCACCAAGGGAAGGTCAAACTCTACAGGGCCAAACAGCATGTGTATATTCCCTGAAACATGTAGAGATTAGGATTTCATGGAGAATATGCACAAATGTAAGGGACTGAGGGAAAGATTAATGTGAGAGAAAAAGAGTGGATTAGTCTGTGTTAGGTATTACCATCCAGTCACTGTGCCAAGTGTGGTAATGCAACCCCATGTCTGCAGCAGATTGTAGTTCTGCATGGTGGAGATCTCCTCCTTCTGCCAACCTTTGGCACAAGAGATACAGAGGGTTTCCCTAGATTCCCAGAACTAAGTTGATGTTTATGCTTTAGTCAGAAAAAAAAATGGATTAGTGTCTGAAGGCCAAAAGAGGCAAGGGTCACCTGCAAATGTCTCTTTCTCCTTTGAAGACAGGATGAAGTAGTTGGGGTTGTTCAGCCTGGAGAAGAGAAGGCTCTGGGGAGACCTCACAGCAGCCTTCCAGTGCCTAAAGGGGTCCTGCAGGAAAGCTGGGGAGGAACTCTTTGTCAGGGAGTGTAGTGAAAGGACAGGAGGTAATGGCTTTAAACTAAAAGAAGGTAGGTTTTGATTAGATATAAAGAACTTCTTAACTATGAGCATGGTGAGGCACTGGAACAGGTTGCCCAGAGAAGCTGTAGATGCTCCATCCCTGGAAGTGCTCAAGGACAGGTTGGATGAGGGTTTGAGCAACCTGGTCTAGTGGGAGATGTCCCTGCCCATGGCAGGGGGATTGGAAATAGGTGGTCTTTAAGGCTCATTCCAACCCAAACCATTCTCTGATTCTTTGTCTGATAATCTGTGATAATTAAGATATATGACAAGCATTCAAGCAGTACACAGGAAAATAGACTGAGGCTAAGTGAAGATGGGTATTTGTATATGGCAGCTTCTATACTGTAGCTGATGATTAGTATGAGTTATAGACAATCTTCATTTTATCTTCTGAAGAGCATTGCAAAGGATCCCCATCTCACCTGCAAAGGAAATAATCACAGTAATTAATCCTACAGTTATCCCATTTCTAAAACCCCTGTATATATTCACCATTTATATTCATTCCCTAAAAAAAAGAAAAAACAAAAAAAAAACAGTTGAGCAAATAAATGCTGGATTGGGCACATTTATGAGGGTCATAATGAAGTAGAGGTTTTAAAGTCAGTCCTTCTTCACCTTCATCAGCCATACAAGGTTGGCTTGCAGGAATAGGAATGCTGGCTCTTAGCAGGCTAATCAATATTAAAAATATTCCACATCAGGGAAAAAGCTAGGATGACAAAAGAAAATATGACTAAGCCAAGCTTTCCCTTTACTTCCTTGCTGAAAACAACTAGAACCTCAGGTCAGAATCCATCACCCTCTGGCCTTTCCTAGCACTTCCAGTAAAACTGGAAATTTCAGATGTAACAAACTATAGTCAAGTGGAAGTGCTGTTTGGAAGTTTAGCTAGAATTAGGAAGGAATTTTTGCACCATAAAGGAGATGTTTGATGACTGAACTTGGTCAAGCTCAAAGCACAAAAGGCAACCAGACAAAATCTGCTTTGTGGTTACTATTTCTGATTCAAGCTCTGAGGAATTCAAGCTAACAAATGTGTGGTTCCTTACTGTTGATGGTGTCAGCTAAATTCTTCAGCTGCTTTGCATTGTCCAGGACTTCGATTCTCTGGGTGTAGGGATTGTACCGAACAGAGAAAGGACGAGGGATTGTCTGAGCAAATTTCCTGAGGGAAAATACAAAAACACATGCAAACCTGAAAAGCTCCTATTTTCAGTAACTCTCTTTTTTGGTTGGTATATGCATTTGCTGGTAAGGGTAATAAGAAAATCTGTGAAAGGAAATAACTGAAATTCCTGCTGAGTGAGCTGAAACCTACAGCATTCTGTAACATGCTTGAATGTTCTTTTATCCTTACCACCTTTGTTTTTCCCAAACAGGCCTAATTATGCTATTGGCATGTCAACAGTGCTCCTGATATAGTCCAACTACATAGCTACTAGGATTTGCCAAACTTTAAAACTTCTTTTTCCTTTCAGGAATGCAAAAGATAGGAATCCTGATCCATGTTTACAATTTCTGGGAAATCAAGGACAAGTATCTATGCCATTCTGGCATATCATGGAGCAAGCAGACTCAATTTCTGGCATTGTTAGTAGAGGCACACAGGTCATTGCAAATATAGGAGATAGTCAGTGGAGTGAAGTTGCAGTCTTATTCTCAGCTGCAAAATAGTTAATTCCACAGCAAAAGCAGTAAGAATTCAGTATCTTGGGAAAATACTGATTTGCATAACCACAGAACTGTAGAAAGGAAGACTCTGAGTGGGAAGAGATGGTCAGAGCTATTGTTCCAGACTCCTTGCAGACCCCAGCAGGATACTGGCTTATATATCTGCTTCAGATTACTGAAGTTATTGCTGAAAGAGGAAGGAAAGCACGCAGGAATTGATTATGGAACCCCACTATACGGACTGTGACTCATCATGTTAAATCCCATAGGCCCAGAAGAGTGGAATATGCTGGATGCCACCTCCACTTTGCTCCTTCAGTTTAGTCCTAATTATTATCAGCTAAAACTCTTGTTTCAAACAGATTTCAGTGTGAGCAGGCCACAAGGTGTGACAGTAAAAAAAAATGTAGGTTAGCTATGATGAAAGTGTTTTTCTAAGGGGACAGATCCACTTTAGAAGACAGTCTTCCTAAATCTCAGCTGCAAGTAAGATTCGTATTAGGAAATGAATTTCTTATTAGGAGATGAATATCTCAATATGAAATTTCCAGGTCAGCCTCGGAAGAATTTTTCAGGGAGGTTTTCTGTTACACACACACACAAATGTGCACCCAGGCATAACCCGCCAATACAGGCATTGGACCAACCTGTTCACCTCTTTCAGTTTAATCAGTTCTCCAATTTGATCTTTGAAACAAATAAAGAAGCCCCAAGATCCTTTTTATAGAGCAATGCAACATCTTACGTTTTTTTAAAGGAGCTTGCTTATCAGTTCTTATCAGTTCATTTCAGTGAGAAGAAGTACACAGAGAAAATAGAAAATGTATGCAGAATATTAATAGCATAAACCAGAAGAGAAAGCTATCTTTCTCAATTATTGGCCCAGAGCAAATGGTAGGAGTAGAGGCTGTAGGTTTATGATGACTGAGGAAAAAGCAGAGGAGGTAGCTAGGAAGACCCAGAAGCTGAGGAGCCTAGGAAAGCAAAATGTTTTGGGTCTTGGTATGTGTTCATCTGTGAGAGAGAGAGAGAGAAAGAAGAGATGGCAGGTCTGAAACAAGTCCCTCTATGGCATCTCATGTGAAAGATTTGTTGAGTGTGAACAAGGCTAACCCCCAGTGGCTTGGCTAACATCCAGAAAGAATGTTGTTGTTGTTTTTAAACAAAAATAGAAATATTGCTGTGAGGTGGAACCCAAGCTGAACCACAAATGCAGTCTGAGCCAGTCCTGTTTCAAGAACGAGAACTGAACCTGGGCCATTACTTCAAAGTCTTGTTGAACTGGAACTGAATTTGTGTTTGAGTCACAGATGACTGAAACATTTACTGTGTAGCCCTGTAGGCTCGTAAACACACTGCTGGTAACAAGCTGGAGGCTCTGTATTAAGCTAACAACAGAGGTCTTGGGTTGAAGGTTATTAGGCTGTCTTGGACATTTTTTTTTTTTTAGCTGTAATAGCAATTGTCTAATGACCATGTAGCTATTACCTAATTTGTTTTAGTTTAGCTCAATTCTGAATAATTGTGTGCTATAATGCCTAATGTTAATAATTTCCATATAGGCAGGAATACCGTGTAGTTGTGCTGTATAGAGTGAACTAAGTCTGGCCCTAAAGTATAATCAAACATAAAGAACTACTGTCATGGGCTGATAACAGGCCTTAAAGGATGATGCTGTGGTCCCTGGGCTATCAGGCTATTAGCAACTCTCCAATTCCCCACTGGTCAGTTACTCATAGTAACTTAAGAGCTGAGGAAAAAAAAAAATAAAGACCTAAAATAATATTTATCATACATTTGTAAAGTCAGAAGTAAAACATATTTTCAGAACAATGCAGAAGAAGTAAGATATAAGGAATATTAGAGAACATAAAAATGGCCCTGAACACACTTTGGACTCAGGAGGAAGAAACAAAGCATCAAGAACGTCAACACCTTCCTCCTCCTCACAAAAGAGAGAAAGAAACTATTTTCATTAGTATCACAGCTCTGCCCTGAAGACCTCAACAGATGCTGATTACTTGACAACTCCACCCACCACCACCACCAGACTGAAACCATTGACTTTAGGACACAAAAGAAATTGTAAGGGTGGGCATAAATTCAGTAGAAAAGGAGAATATACTGGGAGATTATTTTTTATAACAAATTTTAACTATAGCAATGTTAAAGAGACTTATATCTGTTAATTAGCTAGCTTTGAACCTATGTGTTACTATCAGTGCAATTGGACTTATAATGTATTTTTATATGTATTTTTGTTATACTGATGAAACTCAATTAGGATAAGCAGAAATTCTTGGCTTCATATAAAAGGCATGTTCCTTTCATTCCCCATAACAAAATTTTTAGTGTAACAACTCCTAAGTCTCTTTGAGCACTGAAGAATTTATTATGAAGCCTCTCAAAACAATACCTGTCAACCCAATACCTGTTATGACAATGAGTTCCACTGTGTTTGCAGAGGTCGAGAAATTGCATCATATATATGGAATGACTGGATTACCTTAGCTTTTCTTTTGCGTCTTTAAAACTTTCAGCAACAAAGTAGACAGGCTGGAACTCAGTAACAGGGTACTTCTGCACAGCAGTCTTCTCCAGGACAAGAGGCTGAATCTCAGGTTTACTTGATAAACAGTACTATGAGCAAAAGGGTAAGAAGTTTGTTTCAGTTTAAAAGTGCTTTAATTTGCTGTGAAAGAAAGATAGAGCTACTGAATACCACCCAGTTTCTCAAAGGGAAAACTTGCTGCTGTGGAATACCAATGACACAGTGACTTACTAGGAAAGAAGCAGCTATGAGCCCTTTGTCTATAAATACACGGACACATCTATTAGGTAGAGCACTTCAGTGAACTATGACATTATATGCTACTTGTGTGCACAAAGTATGAAGGAAAATAAGGGTTTGAACATATCTGGAAGAGAAAATTGAGCAATTATAAAAACCCAGGTATGAACAATGTATCATCTTCAAAATGATTTATAGAACATACCTGTAGCTCCCCAAATGAAGACAGCAGCCCTGCACCATATGCCTTTAGTGAATCACCTTCCTTACATAGTCCAAACTCCACTGTAAACCAATAAACCTAGAAAGAAATTTAGAGAGAAGCATATGATTCCTTGATCAAATGGGCAGGGACGCATCATTGATTTGAATGCATTTAGAATTTGCTTTTCTATTTAAAATATTGCAGTGTGTCAAATATCAACTGCATTAATACAATAAACATCCTCACAGACTGAAATTCTTCTTCTGGAAGGGCCACGGTGCAAATTGAGCTTCCTGACAAATGCAGTTGTGTTTTACTGTGCTTACATTTGTCAGCAGAGCAGAGACAATGAAACTATAGCAATAAAATTTCATTTGGTCTGGCCAACTCAGTTAAGTTTGAACCTTTGATGATATAAGTTTGTTTCCTGTTTTACACAGAGGGCATCTAGCTGCAGCAGCACAGAGGGAATGAGCTGTTATTGCAATAGAAGACATCATTGTGTGGCCTACCTTGACTTTTTGGTCTGCTACTATGTGTTTGAAAGGATATGTGCCCTGCCTCAGAAAAACTACTTCATCTATCAGAAACAGCAAAGATGCTGCAGTACTCTGCCAGGTGAGCTGGCACTGGGGACACTAATCTCATAGGCTAAGGAGATCACTAGTCTCATCTAGATCGTTAGGTCACTAATCTCATCTCTCTTTCTCCTGATTTTCATTTGGAGTCGCAGAGCAGGATTCAGGTAAAGCATTAACTTATCTGCCCAGCAGGGCAGAAGAAAAGGAACACTAGCAGGTAGAACAGCTAAGGAAGCTGTCTCCCGAAATTCACTGGGGGCATGTAGTAACATGTAATCTCCTCTTGCCTAATATGTTTGTGCTGGAGGAAGTCTTGTCTGGCCCTCTGTGTTTAATCACAACTGTCACTTTGAATAAGTGGTGCCAAAATTATTTTTCTTTAATGTAACTGTTTCAGGGTGGGGTTTTCCAATTATGGACTTCACTCTGTTCCCATTCAACTCTATGGGAGTTCTATCAGTGACTTCAGTGGCAGCAGAATTAAACAACACAGGGTGCTTTGGAAAACTGGGCCCTCATTTATTAAATTACCGTAGCAAGTTTCTCGATGAAATCATCTGGAGCTCCCAGAGATGCCAGTCCAATTTCCTGTAACAATAAACCATTATTCTTCAAGCCATTTATTGCAAACATTCTTCCTGTCTTGTCTTATGTAATTTCTCACATTTTAAATGTTACCATCACTTATTACCACACACAAATGTTTACAGGACATATTCCTATCGTGCAACATCAATTTTAAACCAGAACTCTCTCCAGAAATGAACAAAAGGGTCCTGTCTAAATGTCATTTACAAGGCATAGTTCTTTGTGCTTGGTACAAAAGCCATTGAAGTCAAATAAAATTCTCCTTTTGCTTTGACAGACTTTTGATCAAGCCCACAATGCACACCCAAGAGAATGATACAGTCAAAAGAAGATAAATCAATCACATCCATACTGCTTAAATATTTATTTTTGCTTTGATGGGTCCGGATTGCAGGAGGTTTCTTGCAGCCTTGAAAGACATGTTTGTTTATTTGTGTTTTTTTCCTGAATGACAGGGCATGATTTGAAAGAGCTCATTCATACCTTGGGAGGTAATAGAAACTTTCCCAGGAGGCATGCTATAGCTGGATTCAGAAGCTACATGAGACTGTATATAACCAGGTACCTTTCTCACTTTGCTCCAGTGAGGACTGCACAATGTAAAATCAGAGCCCCCGCCCCCAGTACCCTTTCCCAAACCAAAAGCATTAGTGCAGCTATTGTCAAATATGTCAAATCCCAATAAGCCGAAGTGCAGTAGGGGCTATTTTGAAGGAATCCCTGGTCCTGGGGAAATGCAGAGCCTGCAGTCAATACTGAGTGCTAATAGCTACAGCAGGTTAATTTCTGTCTTGTGAGCAGGTTGTTACATAAAGGCTATGTCCCTTTCTTTCCCTTCTTCCGTACTTCCATCTTTCTGTCCTTGACCTCCCATCCTTCTATCCTCAATCCTTCTTTCTGTCTTTATTTCTGTCTCTCTTTGTCTTTCTCTTCCTTCTTTTCTTCCTTCCTTCCTTCCTTCCTTCCTGTCTGTCTGTCTGTTTTTTCTTGTTTTTCTGGTAAGATGCAGCCTAAATTTACTCCTTCCCTGAGGTTTGGCTTCTTTTCCAGAGACATTAACACTAGCAAAGAGAAAGCTCTTCTCCAGCCGTCTCACACATTTGCAGATGGGACAGTTCCTCACTTGACATCCTCTGTGATAGACTTCTCTGTGACTTCAACAGAAAAATAAGTAAATAAATAAATAAAAATTCTTCACTTTCCCGAACGTTTGGGCTACAAGATGGAGCAATAACTCATTTGAATCACGAGCCATTTAACTTTCCCCAGAAGGATCAACATCTACAGAGAAGGTTTTAGATGAATTCTTTACAAAGGATTTGCCTGTAAAAAACAACCCACACAAGATAAACGTTTGGCGTATGGGTACAGAAGTTCACACATGTGATTTGTGTCTAGATTTCAAGCAGTAAATAAATCCTGATTCACAGTCTTCATGACATCAGCTGTTGTCAGAAATGCAGCAATGCTCTCCCCTATGTTCCAGTTTGTTTCTTTACTACTCTTAGGAAGCTACCAACTGCAAACATACATCATTTCAATGGAATAGAAACATTAAGGTTGGAAAAGACTTCCAAGATCATCTGGTCCAACCATCCTCCTACAACCAATGTCACCCACTAAATCATGTCCCTAACCACCAAGTCCAACCTTTCCTTGAACACCCCCAGGGACAGTGACACCACCACTTCTTTGGTTAACCCGTTCCAATGCCTGACTGCTCTTCTGAGAAGAAATGTCTCCTAATTTCCAACCTAAACCTCCCCTGGTGCAACTTGAGGCCATTCCCTGTAGTCCTATCACTAGTTACCCATGAGAACAGGCCAACCCTCAGCCCCCCACACCTTACTTTCAGGTAGTTGTAGAGAGCCATAAGGTCTGCCCTGAGCCTCCTCTTCTCCAGACTAAACAACCCCGGTTCCCTCAGCCACTCCTCACAGGACTCGTGCTCCAGACCCTTCACCAACTTCGTAGCCCTTCTCTGGATATGCTCCAGGGCCTCAGTGTCCTTCTTGTACTGAGGGGCCCAAAGCTGAACACAGTACTCAAGGTGAGGCCTCACCAGAACAGAGTACAGGAGGAAGATCACTTCCCTGGTCCTACTGGCTGCACTATTCCTGATACAAGCCAGGATGCCATTGGCCTTCTTGGCCACCTGGGCACACTGCTGTCTCATGTTCAGGTGAGCATTGACCAACATCCCCAGATCCTTTTCCTTTGCACAGATTTCCAGCCACTCTGGCCCAAGTCTGTAGTGCTGCATAGGTTGTTGTGGCCAAACTGCAGGACCTGGCACTCAGCCATGTTGAACCTCATCCCATTGACCTCTGCCCATCAACCCATCTACTTTAGGTCCCTCTGCAGGTCCTTCCTACCCTCCAGCAGATCAACACTTCCCCACTTCCCCACAGCTTGGTGTTGTCTGCAGATTTATTGAGGGTGCACTCGATTCCCTCATCCAAATCAACAGTAAAGATATTAAAGAGGATGGGCCCCAAAACCGCCCCCTGGGGAACACCAACGGTGACTGGTCACCAGCTGGATTTAACTCCATTCATCACCACTCTCTGGAATACCTATCCATGACAATCTCAGATGACAAAACAGAAAGGAAAATAGTTAATACCATCTGCTATTTGGAAAAGGAGACTCAGTTGACCTCAGTCACTCTTAGACAATAAGCTTAAAGGTGAATTTCCCTCCACACCATCCCATCCCTTGTAGCTATTATTTCATCCTCTGAATTGCCTCAGCTTTGGTGTGTTCAGTTATAAAAATAGCATAACTGCTGAATAACTTACCTGAGAAAACTGAGCAAAACTGGGATCAGCAAAAAGAGGCACATGTCCTAGCAGCTCATGGCAAATATCACTGCAGGAAAACATGACATCTGAATAACTTTAATTTAGGCAAAGTCCAGCCCTAGAGTCCACGTATAGTCAGGAGTGCAGGGCATGCACTCCTATCAGCAAATAATGCTCAGGACTCATAGGCAAACATTTTTGCTCTAACTCGACTCTTGTGAGGTCAAGGTTTGCACTCTCAAGGCTTTTTAGAGGTTTTATCCTCACAGATGCCTCAGAGGAAGGATAGTGTATTATTTGTTTTCCTTTTGGAAGAAAACTGTCCTTTCAACTGTTCAGGAAGATATCATCCCACCAAAGGAAATGTACTTTTCACTCTCAAGGGCAGGAAATAGCTCTAAATGCAGCTCAGGCAACTAAGACAACTCAGCGTAGTGTCAACATACACATCAGGAGCTCAACCCCAGCCCCTGTTCAGGTCCAGAGCCTCACACTAAGAGATGGGAACTCACTTTTCCTGGGGTAGGACTCCTTTCACTACAAGTTGAAGTTGGCAGCTGAACAGGTGTGTTTGGGGAAGAGCTCACCTAGGGACTGCTAGAGTTTTCAAAGACCCAGAAGCAGTTTAGTGAGACAGAAAGGCAAGATGGATGAGACACTCCCAGGAAGGCAAGGTCTGTGGAAGACTTCTATAGGGCAGATTTGAAGAGCAGATATTCTTGAAGAGCAGATTTTCAAGGAGATGTATGCCCAGGAGAACAGCCCAGTCAATAAGAATTAAACTGGGGATTTGAGAGGCAAGGGACTCAGAGGAAAAGATGTAAGCCACACTGTGAAAGATGTTGTTCACTGGACCCTTCTGGAGACAGTGCAAGACTTGCAGGCACTGCATAACAGCAGCAGCAGGGGCTGTAGTAAGGCTTTCCACTCTGCAGTTAGTCCCTATTTGCCTGGGCATTTTGTGAGGAGAGGAGAGGAAGGCAGATTTCAGTGTGGCTTTGTGCAGGATGGGAACAGGGTGAAGAGATGCAAGCAGAAAAATCAGAAGAATAAGGAGTGGAAAAATGGAGGGGAAAGGGAGGATGTGGGAAGAAGTAGAGAGAAAAAAATTATTATGGATGTGGAGGAAGAATTGCAGTAATAAAAAGCAGAGGAAGAAGATAACTTTTTTTTTTTTTTTAACAGCAAGTGGAGAAGGACAGGGACAGGCAGAAATTTTACAATATAAAACTGAAAAAGAGAAGGGGTCACTGATCTGGGCTTCCTCTATCTTGCTGCCAGAAGCTTGCTTGCAACATGTTGAGTCATTCCTGCACTAGATTTCACACCACTGCTTTGGGTGTTAATAGCTAAGTTAAATGCTTTTGTATGCTGCTCTCCCGACTCCCAGCCACCACACAAGCATGTCTTCAGTTAGTAGAACTGTCTGATCAATCCCAGAAGAACTTGCAGAAGAGGATACAGCTTACTAAAAAGACTAGAAATCTTCCAAAAATGTTTTCAGAAGAGTGCAGTCGCTTGGCTGCTTTCCATTAACTGTTCCCAGGAGTGCTCTGGAGTCCCTCATGGTTATTATCAGTTGGCCTGACCCTATTGCTAGTCTGCTATGACTTTATGTACTTTCTGTGCCAAAGTACTTACGGCTCTGGTGTGTACATAGGTTTCGACGCATGGCGAATATACTGTGTAGAGTGAAATACTCGGAATGCCAAACCAGCCAAGAAATCCCGAGAGGAGAGCAAGCCTGCAACAGGACGCAGGCGAAATCCAGTGCAGGCTGAAGAGACAGAAAGGTGGCATGTTAAAAGCAGCTGCTGTACTTGATTTATCCTTGTCTGGACTCCTCACAGTAGAAGAAAGTTAATTGTTTTCTTTGCCCTCACTATGTTTTCTATGCCCTCACTATGTAAATAGAGTTTAGTTGTGAAAGAGCAGGGAATTTTCTACCCATGTGTACCAGCATCATAGTACCTGAACATCCATACCAATGTATTTCTGAAAGTTTTCAAGAGGGACCTGAGGCACAGGCTAAAGAATGTGCCCAAGTGCTCACACAAAGCCTACAATTGAGCAGATACTGCTTGTCCATCTGTGAAAACACCACCCCAGCTGACAGAAGAGGCATGCTTATATATATATATATACACACGTATACATGTGTTTTGTTTGTTGTTGTTTTTTTTATATGCTTCAAACTTACTCTGCAAGAATTTTGAAATATCTTCAAGCTGGGGAATGTTATCCTCCCGGTAGCCACAGTACTTCTCTAGCAGTGGGAACACATGGTTATGTTCATAACAAGCATGAGTTGGATAGAGACTCTTCAGCTCCCTGAAGACAGTGCCCCATGTTTTCTTTTCTTCTTCTGTGTAGGTGACTCGAGGAATAGGTTGGCCACTGAAAACAAATACGGATATTCTCCATAGGAGTGACAGAAAAAGTGTCCTATGCCACTGGCATCATACTCAGGAGCTCTACATGGGCTGGTCAGGAGCTGCTGGTGCAGGAAGGGAGATGCCTTTTCTTTGACATGGAGGTGCAAAAGGAGTCTCACTTGCCCCTAGGCACTGACTGAGAAGAACTCTACCAACCTCAGGTGTGATACCGGCCTTTAGCCTACCCCTTGCATTACTGTGATACAAATAAATTAGTGCTTATTTGTCTTATCAAGACATTCTTCTAAAAATATTCTCTGGCTGATGGTTTCAATTTCTTTCCATTTCTAACCATGGAACAGCTGTTGTATTTCTTGGTCTAATGCACACTATATTAATTGTCTTTGTTACAACAGGGAAACCACCAGCTCCAGAAAAGTCTGTTTCATGGCAGTCAGAGAAATTCTGAGCTGTGCTTTATGCTACAACAGATGCAGACTTCAGCCAGTTTGACTCTTTTTTTTTTTTTTTTTAATTGTAATGAGTAATTTTGTGTCAAATCCCACCCTCAGGCCTCCATGTACTTAGCTCATGTTGAAGCTAGCACGAATTAGACAATCCCAAGCAATGTGTTTTGGCCTCCTGTGAATAGTCAATTTCTTAGCAATAATGATAGGGCCATAGGTGAATCCAACAGCTTTGAAAAATCAAAGGGTTTTAAGTAACTTAATAGGGTTAACATCACTGCTGGAATAATGCCGGAGCTTTCCAAGCCCCAGAGACCCATTGTTAAACTATCGATGACACCCTACCATCTCCCACCCCCTCATTTCCCCCTTGAGCCTCAGGGCAGCTCCTCTGGAGTACCATAATTTTCTGCATCTCTGTATCAGCCCTTCTTTGATTTGTGGAGCTTTAAACATCACATTGAATTACGAGGATTGCTCGGGGATTTTTGTTCCTATAACACTCCTAAGTAATCCTAAGTAATCCTCAGCCACCTTCCATAGCTACAGGGGAAAATTATTGGCTTAAAAACTTTTCAAATTTCAATTAAAAAATTGCAAGAATAAACAGGGCCAGAAGCTAAGGAAGGCAGAAGAAAGAGGCAAGCTAAAGGCGAAGAAGAGACAATTCAGGGAAATGAGGCATTCAACAAAAATGACAGGTAGATGTACCAAGAAAGAAGGCAAAAGAGCAAAGGCAGAGAGGAGCAAAGAAAGCAGAGAGACACAAACAGGAGGACAAAAGAAGTGCAAAAGAGGGGGGACACAGAAGATTAAATTGATAAGGAGAAGTGTGAAAAAACTGACCACAGACCTACCTCACCTTTGTAGCTGACTTCACAAGCTATGCATTTTGCTTTTTCAGATACTTTCCATAATGCCTCATAGTTTTGATTGTCCCTCTCTTCCTGCCCAGTTCTCTGTGCCCCTGTCTCTCCCTTGCAAGAGACACTCCCTTGGCCTCTGCTCTCCTGCTGCAGACCCTGTAAGTCATCTGCCATGTGTAGCACCCAGGGCAAGAACATTACCCATTTGGTTCTTCCTGAATCAGCATCCAAAGTCACTGAATACATGTACTTTCTTTCCACAAGACCCAAAAGCCCAAATGTGGGCTTTCACACTCTGTTCATTACTCTGTTAGTGAAAGACCTTATTGAAAAGTCCAAGAACTTCACAGAGGTCCAAGCCTGTGTAGCCTTCAATGTGTCTGAGGATCTGCATAACAGACTAAATATTAAGTAGTTGTATCTTGGAATATAATGGTTTCATCTTCCTAAGCTGGTTTGCTGGTTTGCTGGTTTCAGGTTGAATACTGGAGGGGGGGGTGGTTTAGAAGATGTGGGTATTATCTTATTTTTGTTTTATTTCTCTAGGATTTAACTAAAGCCTACAAACTAGAGACTAGAATTTGCTATCTGTTAAGCAGGAAAGGTAAATGTTCTATGGGATACATATAAGTGGAAACTAGATCCATTCATATTTGGCCACAAAGCCTTATCCAATTTTTTGAGCCACAAAATGGGCTCCTGACTTTTTTCACCTGACTTTTTTCACTTTGCATCAATCAGACCAATTTTGTCTCATTTTATGAGCATTATGAGCTTTTTGGCTCAGAGACTATCTTTTCATCACAGTCCTGTGCGAAGTGGATCCCTAAATGTACAACATATGTTACCTTATCCTTTGCAATCACAATTTTTACCAGTCTCAGCAAGAGTCAGGCCCAGTATTACTGATGTAAATGTGTGAGTGGCTCTGGGAGCAGAATTTTATCTCCTCCAGATTTGATCACTGAAAGCAATCAAGCAAGCCTGTTCTAAATGAATTTATCATCTCTATTCATTTATTTTTCTTGGGAAATGAGAGCCCAAATTGCTGATTGCAGCTGGGTCAGACATGATAAAAGTAGAGTATCAGGCACTGGATTAGCATCAGAACCATAAGTTATTCATTATTTTAATAGTGCATGCAGCTCCTGCTTTAATGTAAATGATAGGCACTCCTCCCCCAGTCCCAGTTTAATGGGGAGGATACCAGAAGCAGCTTTATTCAATGCTCAGGTCTTTGTAGTAGCAACTGAGTCTGCTGCTCAATTAGACAACAAAGCCAGGGGAAGAGGGGTGTTGTGGGGAAAGAGGGGAGGCGATGTTCTCATCTGAATGTGTGTCTGCAACAATTTACTTTTGTTTTACTGCTATTTGGGGATAAATACATGAACAGGAAGATTTAAACACATGCCAGAGAAAAGCCAGCAGCAGGAGGATGCTTGTGGAAAAACGGGGACTGCCAGCAGGACAAGAGCTCCAGGAGAGAGCAGGAGATATAGGCTAGCTTTTTGCCCACACACTGAGCACTCACTGTCTGTAGTTGTAGGCGATATCTGCAAACTCCTTCCTCCGGGCCCGGTACACAGGATCTTTGAACCCCTAAAGAGAAACAGTGACATTCAGTCCCTGTGTAAGTGCAGGTGGTAAACAGCCTTCCTCCTGCTGAGCACCCTTGGGCATGGCTGGTCCAAGGGAGCAGCAAGCTGCCTGGGGAGCGACAGAAGTGTAGCAGGAGGTGTGGGAAGCTGCCTCCATCCTTCCTGGCTCCCCTACACCCGGCTTGCAAAGGGCACTGCTCCTTCCCTGTCTGCAGGGCAGCTGTTCAGCTGCAGCCTTCCAGCCCTTCTCACCCTCAAGCCCTTTTGTTTTGTCATTTCCAAATGCTACGAAAAAGGGAAACACTCTCCTTTACAACACAGGCAGGGTGCTACCACAAGAGCAATGCACCATATAAACAGCCCTCAGATAAAAACGCCCTTCTGGTTTGTCATGAAACTTGTCGCAGTTGCCAGCACAGCTTGGCTGGTCTAGAGAAGCAGAGCTAAACCATATTAGAAACACACTCATCAGTTCAGGCAGACCTTTTAGGTATTTTTTTCAGCATGAACAATATTTCAAGGTGCTTGTTTTCAAAATGTTAGAAGAATGGTAAGCACCTAGCTAACCAAAAAGCCCTGTTAGTGCTACAAAATCAATCATTTGAAGGGGAAATGATTACTATAGAGAATGTGTAATAGACTTTGTGATGGTCAGTTTGACCTTTGCAGCTAATTATCTGTATTACCAGAGATAAGAAATATAATCTATAAATCTTCTCCTGGAATAACCATTCTCCTGTCCCAATGTGCCATTTATTATAGGTTCCTCAGGGCTAGGAGTGTCTTCACCACCTAAAGTAGAGAAATGTCCTTCCCAGATAGAAGACATTTATGCAAGGCAAATAGCAACAACTCTGTGGGCACTGCTTCAGTTCATGAATGCACCTCAGAGGTGCATGGCACAACAGGACTGATTGGCCACGAAACACAACCAGGTACAGGAGAAAGCTAAAGCACTGTGCAGATCAAAGAGTGCTAGGCAAACAAAGGCAGCCAATAGCCTAAAAAAATGCACTGTCCTGGATTAACCTGGTATTTGTGGTTAAATCCCAACACAGGCTCTTTTAATTTATTTATTTCTGCACACTGTGTGCTGTCTTGCCTATTTACTGCAGCAGTTGGGCTTCTTTTTAAGGTAACCTGGATAAAACTGCTCACAAAATAATTCTAGGAACTGAAGCAGAGATGCTTTATTCCTTTTCATATCTATATATATTATTTTTTTCAAATACAGTCTTGGTCTATTCCCACATGACACACAAGGGGGCCATTGACTCAGTGTATCTCCTTTCATTCTGCCTTTCATACGACTGCACTGAATATCATGAATCATTGTATATGATACATAACACATCTTGAATTAAGCAATAGGTAGTGAATGACTAATCACCTCATCTCAATTAAACTAATAGCAGCAATTTTTGTTGCGCTGCATGTAATTTATTTATAATCATCCTATCTCAATTAAACTAATAGCAGCAATTTCTGTTGCTCTGCGTGGAACTCGGTGTGTTTTGACAAATGAAAATAAGTTGTTGTTTGCTTGGAGAGGGAGTAGAAGCAGCAAGTATTCTTGTATTTGGAAGAGCTGAAAAACCACTGAAGTAATTTTTTTTTATCAACTAGGCCAGCGAACAAAACTATCTGACACTACCATTTAAACCACAAACTTTTTGAAACAATGACTTTTCCTTTTGTTCTTTCTCATCATACAAAAATCATGACAGATTTAACAACCACATAACAATGCACAAGCTCAATCGTGACCAACCACGAAAAAGCACTCTTCCTATCTCCAGGATATAATATGCTGCTCCTGAAGTTTTTGTTACTAGTGATTCACTGAGTCTGAAGTCACCATCAGAGCCATGCGGGAAAACCAGAAGTGTTCCTGTGGTGGCCTTGTGCTCTGTGATGTCTGTGACTCTTCATGTTTACTAGTATTTGTTTAAATTAAAGCAACTTTTGGTCTGCTCAGCTTCATAGCAAGGATTGGGCTGATTCTAACCCTAGAAATGTGGTACCTTTCTTGTCCAAAAGCCTGAGACTTAGTCTGCTATATTTGTCTTAAGGAAGAGCAAGTGTAAATAAGAAAAACATCAATCCCCAAACTAGAAACATGTTAAAAAGCAAAACTCTGTTTCTTACAGGATGGTCAGCATCCAATTCTGCTCCATAGCTTAGAATCTGATTGGCAAATCTGTCCAGCTCCTGGATACTTCTTGGGAACCACGGTACTGCAAAACAGAAAAGAAACAGAGACTGGTATGCTTCTTTGTTACTTGGTTAGGGACCTCCTTTTGGTCTTTCCATTTCTTCATCATAAAAATAAATATGTAGGGGTCTAACTTCTGACAGCATTGGCCTTTCCTTGTAGTAGAAGGCAAGAGCAAACCCTGCAAATTTTCTTGAATTTGTGGCTGTTTTGTGCTGTTGGAATAATACAGAGCATCAGGAATGTCTAGCCCTTGGCACAGAGCTGGTTTGTAATGTTTATGATTTTCTGTTTATTATTCTGCTTTCTTGGCTTACCCAAACAGTATTTTTTCCAGATTATCCTTGCTTTCACAGTAGCTAGAATCAGCCATTTCAAAGGAACAGCAAGAAATCCCACAATAAGATGGATACAAGACTATTTGACCCCCTGAAAATCTCTTTCTAAGACTTAGTTGGTGGGCTCACTTAGGCTAGGATGATGAAATAAAATGATAAATGTCAGCCTGATAACTCAGACTAGCATTGTATTACTGCATTTAAAGCTTGATTATTTCATTTGATGTTAACTAGTTCCTGCACACAGACTTCATTTGTCCTTACCTTCTACAGGACACCTAGGATTTTATAGCTCCCTGTCATTTCCTCCATCTATCATCCTTCAACCTGGCTGACACCTTGCCTATGTATTTCTAGCACAGTTCTTGTATTTCTTGTATTTCTTGCCTGTTCTTGAGCACTCTCATCACTTTTCTACGTACTGCTTCCAGTTCTGCCATACTTTTGCTGAGGAACAGGAACAGGCCCGTTTAAAGTTGCACCCCATGCTCAGACCCTGTAATCATGTTCCATGTGCTCTCTATACCATATAAAAATCAACTCCATGGACCATGAGGCTAATAACACCCAATGCTCTGTTGCTTTAAGCCCAAGGTCTCTCAGAAGTCTATAAATAAAATGTTGGCAATTCATTTAGTGACTTTCTTGTGTGAACAGGGGTGACTTGCTCAGACAGAGCTAGCAAAACTGCTCTTTGCTCTGTGTGGCTCTGCTCAGCTGGGTGCGCTGCCTCTGAGCCCTACCTTCCTCCCCATTTGATTTGTGTTTTGTCCCAGGTGAACCTGATTCCTAGGAAAAGCTTCCCTCTGAGGATGGAGCCCCTGAGCAGTCTGCCAGCAGCTGCTACACAAGCTCCCCACAGTGCTTTGCTGACATGGCTCATCCTGGACGCTGACAGACCACCTATGGGATAAGAGGATAACTCTGCCTCCTGGGCTATTCAGCCTTGCTCTTTCTGCTGCACTTCACAGCACGGAGGGTACTTGTGGTGCTGCGTTTCTGTGAGACACCTGCACCTAGCGGCTGGAGTGGCGCGGGGAGCTCCTTTTGTGGCCACAGCTCAGCCCCACACAGATGGCTTGCTCCCCTGACCTGCTGTCCCACCACCAGCCCGGCTCCAGCCAGCCTGGCTCTATCCAACGCTTCTGCTGCAAGCCGTAAGACTCATTTCCAGCAGGCCGGGCAATGCAGGGGCCTCCCCTAGCTCCTTAGTCCTTTCTGCTGTGCCTCCCCTTCGTCCTCCCAGCAAAAGTGGGCTTTGGTACCTGCTTTCAAGCTGCACAGCCTTCTGCTTTCCCCTGACAGACAGACCAGCACAAGTCACTAGATGGCAGCAGCAGGCCCAGGAAAACCCTCCTCAAGTGACTGCCGAGTTTATTGCTAGCTCTCTAGTTTCTCCACCTTTCTGTTAGTAACCTTCCTGCGCCTCCAGCCCCTCGAGTTAAAACAGTGTGAGGGTGATTAGAAAAAGGGGTGTCTGAGTTCTAGAGAGGAGTCAGTAGAGACATACCTCATGAATGATGAGCCCACCCTACCCTCTTGCCCCTATTTTCTGTACACACAGCAGGGCAGGGGGTTCATCTCCCAGCTCTGGCAGTGGCCTTTACATGAAGGTAGGGGGATTGCTTCGCTGCTTTGTGCTTCAGACTCACCACTGCCAGGGAAGCTGACACCCACTATCATCAGTGAAGCATCCTGATAAATGTTTTGGACACTGGAAAAAAGCTGTCTGAGAGCCCACAGCAAAGCACTTGTCAGTGTTCAAGTGAGGAATCACTATTCTCAGGGAAGCATCATGATCTGAAAGGTCCAGACTGTGCAGACAAACCAGTGGAGGCTGAGGTCTGCAGTGGATTTCAGCAATGATATCTGTAGGGATTTGCTGCCTGGGGTCAAAAAGGTCTAGGTGGGCAGAGTTTGAAATATTCCAGCTTCAGGAAGCCATAGAATAGATGTATAAGAATGAATTGTTTTCATTAAACATAGTTTATTCTTAAGCTTCCCAAAGCACTTGGTGCAGAGGTTGTAATAAACTCTGGGACAGACTGACACACTGTCAGTTTCAGACATGGAGATGGGTGGCTTGCTTTTCCTCTACGTAGGTACAGCAGCCTGTATAGGTACTGGACCTATTTTCAGCAGATTTCTGCCCACCTCCCAGCCCCCCCAGACACTGGTGACAGCTCCAGGAGTGCTGCTCTGAGAGCTGCTCTGGGTGAAAAGGCTCAAGCTGTAAAAGAATCATGAAGATTCTTTGTGCTATTTGCACCAGCATAGCTGGACTTTAGTCCTGAACATTCTCAGCTCTTGTGGCAACAAGAATCAAAGATGCTGAGCATAGCCCTGGCCCAGCCACCAAGCCCATACAACCCTGGCAACAGGCACCAGGGTGCAAAAGAGCTACTGCGTCCTCTGTGTAGCTGTGGTGTGCCGGGAGGCTGACCCCAGCCCCCCCTGCAACTATTGAAAAGATCAAATCAAATTATCCCCTGGCTGAATCTCTCCCATATTTTGTTTGCGACATCCTCCTCCAGCCCCGTTCACCAGACTCGCTGTCTGTCTGCACGGCCATTAATGAATTGCCAGAGCAAGCTGTTGCAACACTGGGCCTCTGTGAAGGTCCGAGGAGCAAACGTGGGCTGATCAGTAATAAATATTGATTTGTCTGTAAGTGAAACGGCAGCATTTATGGGATTGTGCTGGACACCCAAGTGGTGACCAAATTACCATGGGGTCAAATGCTTAGCAGAATGCTAATAAGCCATTTATATGAGGGGCAGCAAAGCAGGGGCAGTGAGGACTTCTGCAGAACTCCTCCATTTGGACCATTGTGAGGAGGGTCAAAGACAGGTCTATGCAATTTATAGCAGTTCAAGGCCCAGGTTTAGCCCTTTTTTAAACAGTCCCAAATGCTTTGGCCAGCCTCAGGGTTTAGCAAACAAGGACCCTACAGAACATCAGCCTCCAGTCTGTCTCAGAAATGCAATAAATTGTCTGCATTTGCCTAATGCTGCAACAGAATAATATTTAATTATTTTTATTCATGGGCTCCAAGTGGTCTGCAGATATCTAGCTTGTTTCCAAAAAGAGCTATGAAGAGATGCACTGTGTTTTCAGAACAAATCTTCCCATCTCTACAAAAGGCTTTTGGCCCAGTGACTGCTAGACCACCTCGAGTTCTGAAATTACCTTTGGATTTATGGCATTTTGCTGGCCTGCTCACAGCTAAAATTATACTGTCAATCCGCCTCCTATTTGTAACTCTTTGGGTTTGTAAAGGAAAACCAAAACTATATTTTGCTTTTGAGAGAGTAAAGACTATTAAAAAAAAAATAATAAAAAAAAAAAAATAAAAAAAAAATAAAAAAAGAGTGTTCAGGTTAAAAAAGAAGGGGGGGTGGGGTGGAGTTTTCATTAACACTTTGGCTGAAAAAGAATACATATGTGTTTAATGCTAAGCTATTCAGGAGGGGAAAGGCCAGTAATTTCCTTTGACTTTCCGCAAAGCACTGCTCCAGGAATGGCACTGTGTGCTTCCTATGGGAAACTGAGTAAAAGAAGAGTTTTTGTTCAAATCATGAGCGTGAGCTAAGTGAATCCCTAACAAGGAAGGACTGAAAGCATCTTTAGGCAGTGGTGAGAGAACTGGTCCCGTGGGACCCCAGACTGGCTCCAAGAGAAAACATTCCCAGCTTTACCTGCCAACCTATCAGAGCATGAAGATATCCCCATGAACCATCTGCCTGAGATTTTGCTCCCTGGAGGTGTATTGCTCTCATTCTGTGCTTTGGGAATAATATTTCACAAAAGCATGTCTGTAGATTACAACCAGATTTGCCAGGAGGATACATTTGAAAGGCAGGCTGACCTAAAAGGCACCATGAGGCCTATTAATTGTTAATGCCATCACAGATAAAGGACAACATCTTACCACTCTTCCTACAGTTCGGTCTGCTCCCATGTCAGTCTGCCCATGTAGCTGCCTCAGCCCAGAATTTGCCACCCACAGTTCATCCCCTAAGCAGTGCTTCTTTGACCTTTCGAATATGGCTCTTTGGGGATTTCAGTTTGACTGGACCCTTACTACCCATGAGAGAAGCTGAAATTGAAAGAAAAAAAGAAAAAGGAAAAGGGTAACAAGAAATATCAATTTTCCTCTCTTTCCTTGGCAGTAAGTTGCTCCCACTTTATGCTATTTCTGAGTTATTGGAACTAACAAACAAACACAAGTTATCCTCTCCAACGGAAGGGGATCAAGTCCCTTTCTGCAGCACTGACAGGATAATCTAACTCAAAAAAATGCTTTGATCAACACAGTAACATGCAGTGAAACTTAATCCTACAGCAGACCATGGGAGTTCTGACTTCTGTGAGGTCAGAATTTCAGTCACTAAACCTTCCTGGCTGATATTTAGAGCTGCATCTCTTTCTGACTCTGGCTTCTGTTTATATATAACTTCAACGTCTTCTTAACAATAACTAGAAAAACAAAATAATGGTAAATCCTGCTAGGCCCTATAGATTTCTCCTGGAAATAAAAAATCCCCAAAGAGAAAACGTCTTTGATTTGACATGATCATAAATCAGCTAATCAACCCTTTGTCCCTCTATCTCATGAATGGAGAGAACTGACTCCAAAGAGTATTTGCCTTCTTCTTTTTCATCTTCAAATGCAATGTCATGGGGAAGACACAAAGGAGATGGTAAAAGGATTACCAGCACTGATCTCACAAAGGTATTAATGTTCTTTCATGTTGTTCCTAGGAAGGAAGAGGAAGATCCAGATCTAAAGTATTTAAAGTCTGAAATCCTATTAAAATCACATCTGTTATCTGAAGAGGCATTTAAGTATGTCTCAGACTGGGTGCTGGGCAGCCACCTCTGTACCAAGCAGCCTCAACTCCATCAAAAATTAGGAGTGTGGACAACTCAGAAAATCTTATTTCCATCCAAAGGCAGGATTACTACTGGTCTCCCCAGGATTTCTTCCAGCAAAGAAGAATTATGGTCCCACTGAAGTGGGTGGCAGAGCCTACCTAATTTCTATAGCAGGAGTGAGGGGGATCCCCAAGCAAAAACAGTGGAGATGTGGACAGTGTTGGACTCGCGTGCAACTGTGCAAAGGAGAGCAGGGGAAGCTGGCCACTGCTGGGGACTTTTCCTCCCCTCTCAACTCAGCCCAGAGGTTCATGGGCCCCAAAAGGAAGGAGCTTCAGAGGCCTGCTGACAGAGCTCATGAGATTGAAATTGGAAAGTAAATCCAGGTGTTCAAAGGGGTGTACCAGCCCCAGAGAGCACAGGAGGGTAAGCCCTCCCCTTGTCCCCAGAGGATGCATGGGACAGGGCTCTTGTTACCTACGCTACACTACAAGGTTTGTGCCATGGTGATTTGTGAGGTCCCAGAGACATTTGTTAAGGGGGAGGCACTGCAACAGTCAGGGATTTTGCTGTCACTTTTTGTTTTGTTATGCTGCCCTTTTTCAGCAGATTCTACCTGAGTAAGGAGAATCTGGAAGGTGGCTGGACTTTGAAGGAAGGTTGCATTGAATAAACAGTTTGTAAAGAGTCAGCAAATGAGCAACGACTGGTGTATCAACCCACTGCAATACAGCAGTCTTTAAGGGACTGGGAGTGGTAGCAGCAAAACAAACAGATTAAAATATAATAGTGTAACAACAGTTGCCAGGAGACCTTGTCAAAATCATGGCCAAAAATGGAGAATGGCAATGTATATTGACAGAAAATCTCCATATGAAAAACCTTACAATATGGACAAAATAGACAGTGGGAGGGAAACTTAACCATACAGGTCCAAAAGTAACTCCTTTGCTAGAAGAAAAAGAAGTAATTTAAGTATGTTACATAAATATTCCTTCTCAATATTATCCTTGCCAGTATATGCTTACCGGTGTCCTTCTTCTTGGTTCGTGAAAGCTCGTGCACCGTTGCACCAATATCATTTCTCAAAGACTTGATGATCTTGTCTAATGCTGGCACATTCTTGCCTTCCAAATTAATGAAGAATTCATATTCATCTTTGTTGAGACGGGAAGGCCGAGACTCAATGTGTGTCAGGTTTATACCTTTTTCCTATGAGAAAGAGAGATCTTGGTTACACAGGGTTTGGGGGAAGAAATATGACATACAGGCTAGCTAAAATTCGTGTCAGTCAACAACCCATACCATACAGTACAAATAGCTCAAAAACAGAGACTTTTCTCGGGTAGCCACTGGACTGAGGATTTTCAGAACAGGGAGAGAGATGAAAAGGAAAACTGAAAAGACTTACCCCTGTGCAGAGCATTAGCATAAGGACCATTTCTACACAAACCTTTGAAAAAGGTGACAGCAGGATACAAGTTGCAAATAGGCTGTGTATTGTAAATGGTGACACCAGTACTGTGAGTAGATATTGGGAACTTGTCTGTGTGGACAAGAACATTTCCACTGGATCAACACAAGAAATAGGAGTTTCACCTTCTTATGAGAAAGTGATTGCTGCATTTATGAGCATCTTTGAAGAAGGTTGGAAAAGCAAGGAGTGGACCATCCTGTGAGCTAAGCTTCTGCCAAGCCACTGCACAGTCACCTGCAAAGCCACCTGCACACACCTGTGAGCAAGTATTGGGCAGAGATCAAGCTAAACAGGGATCTGCACGAAAAAGGTAGCCCATGGTTATAGGAATAAAAACGTGTGTTTTAGGATCACGGAATTATAAAATTGCATAGTCACTGATGGTGGATGGGTCCTCTGGAAATCTTCTAGTCCAAACCTCTGCTCAAGCAGGCTCCATGAAAGCCAGTTGTTTAGGACTGTTTCTAGCTGGGTTTTGAATGTCTCCACAGTTAGAGACTCCACTTCATAGCCTTTCTGGGAAACCTGCTCCAGAATCTGGTCACTCTTAAAGCACACACACACAAAATAAATACCTTTTTTTTTTTTAATCACAGAAAGTCAAATTCTATCTCAACAAAGATCTTCACTGACAAGCAGCAGTGCCTCCTAGCTCTCAAGAAAGGGACTATCAGCAACCATAGCTGTGACAACCATGGCCTGTTGGTACCTGACTTCAGTTGCTGCCATAACAATGAGTAAAGCAATAGGTAACTAAAAATCATATTCACCCAGTCATCTAAGTGCAAGCCCAAGAAAACAGAGCTCAGTTTAGCTAAACTTCTGAGGTTTTCCTGAGCACTGTAATTCGAATATAAAAATATTATTTTTTTTTTCTTTTGCAAAAAACCTTTTAAATAGATTTCAGTCAGTGCTGACCTTTCTTCAGGCTCCCACTGCAGCTGCAGCCTTGGCTGGGTCAGTCCTTCTGTCCCTCGCAAGGAATAGAGTTAACCCCATGAGGAAATTTTGGCCTGAAGAGCAACCCCAGAAGTGCCAGAGGAGCTGACACATGGTGCTCAGCAGCCCTGGAAAAGCTTCTGTTTTGCTGCTTTCAGGCTTAGGAAGACCCTAACCTACATGGGGTGAACTGACAGTCCCCACTGGTGTCAGTGTCAAACCTCTACAGTGGGGTCAGGATTTCATCCATGAAGAAACGCTGCAAGGATCTATTTGTGACCTGCAGGAAAGAAAGAGGGAGCCTTTTTTTTTTTTCTCCCTCTAGCTTGAGCTTCTCAAGCACTTTAAGGTTTTCTTTGCTGCTCTCAGTGCTTGCACAGTGCAGGGGGGCATCTGGCTATCAGCAGCAAAGGCCTTATTCACTCCACCACAAAAGGCAGTTTATTACTTGGTAGGAAACAGCATGCATGTCATTCCTCTGTTTCCTGAGTGTCGCACGCTACAGATGAACTTAAATTGTTTGGCTAGATACCAATACAATAAGTTGAAAAGGTCAAAAGCGCATTCACCACCAACTGCTGCTCTTGAGAGATGCTGTCCTCGTGGGGCTGTCTGCAGGCAGAGAATGGCTGTCACTGTGCTGGGCCCCGAGGACAATTTGTTTTAGGCCTCCAAAGCCCCTTTTCACAAAAGAACTGTGCATTGTACCCTCAGCTTGGTAAGGCACTGGGTGGTGGAGTGGCCGGGAGCTGGAAGCTCAAATGACTCCAAGCTGGAAAGCTTTGGGCAGAGTGCAGGCATGGAGGGGTCCCGGCCCCTTCAGCACAGCCGTGCTGCGGAGATGGGTGCAGCACCACAGAGCTGGCAACCATCCAGTAGAGCCACCCACAGAGGTGGAGAGTGGGCACAAAACGCCCCCCTGAGCAAAGGTTGGGCCAGGCACACCTAAGAGGGGGATTAAAAAAGAACTACCAAAAAAAAAAAAAAAAAAAAAAAAAAAAAAAAAAAAAAAAACAGGGAAGAAGGAATTATGTAGAGAGTCACCTCTTTTTTTACACCTGGGATGAGTACGATAGCTTTCCTGCAGGGTGTGAAGCCATTTCAGCTGGTTATTCAGGGAGTGCTTGCAACTCAGCAACATGCAAAACTCTTTATCTCCTTGTGATGAGGCTTCAGGACATAGCAGCAGAGCAGCTGAAGGGAGAACCCTTCTGGTGACTGTTTTTAAAGCAGGAGTTCATCAGCGTACATCCCTTAACTGGTGCTGTCACAGAAGCATGCTCTCATATGCTGCATATTGCTAATAAGCAATACCCAATTTCAAAATATTTACAGTGGCTCTGTTACTAGCGTTGCTTTACAAATCTCAATTTCATTCTAGTCCAACTACTCCATCTAGTGTTTAGTCTTCACAGCTTCACATTATTCAAAACTTTTGTATCCTCAGTATTGCCAAATCCTGCAATTGCATCATATTTCTCAGAGTAGTCAATGTTTTATTTGAAGCTCCAACTTCTGGAGCCAAACGGTTACCATAGAAAGGTGGTGGGGGAATTTTTTAGTTTATTTGCTTGTTTTGACCAGTTTTCAGTCTCTCTGTGTTTTTAGTAGTTTGAAATCTTAACAACATATGTCCTCAAAATACAGATAAGAAGTTTGAATTTATTTATTTGATGAGACTCCATGATTTCTGAGTTCATTTTTGTTGATGAAACCTAACTCCAGGTGTTGGAAGATCTGGCCTGTCACATATTTGGGCTTTGATTTACATCCAAACTGTTAACACTTCTGCCTTTCCTATTTTAGAACTGGTAGAAATCAGCTGAGCCCAAGGCTTGAGATTAGATGTGCCTTTGCTGAATCTGACCTATTTTGTTCATCACACCTGCAAAAAACTTGAAGCAGGTTGGTACTTCCCTGTTTCTACTTAGGTTTATGGACTGCATGAAGGGTGAGTCTCTTGTATCCTGTGATGCAGCCTCATACCTTCTGGAGTGCTTCTGAGCAGGTAGAAGGGTAGTTAGCTGCTCAATTTGTATTTAAGTAATAGTGTGAACATCACAAAACAGATTCTGCTTTGAGAACTGAGGGAATGTTTAGGAGTAACACTTAACCAAGATCACAAGGGTACAGTATTGGCAGACCCCTTGAAGTTATCAGAAGTCACTCCAATTTTCTTGCTTTTTTTTCTTAAAACCTGCACTCCTGAGGGTAACAATTCTCAGCTTCCATTATTTGAATATCCACATTCACTGTGTCTCTTATTACTCCCCATTAGAAAAAAGTCTCAAGACATGCTCTCAGAGCTAAAAAAAAAAAAAAAAAAAAAAAAAAAAAGTTGAAATTAAGCCTGTTTTGTGCAAGTCATGATTTTTCAATGACAGGGTTTAGCCATAGGGATGTTGATTCACAGCAGAGGTAATAGAAGACCTTGGGGGAGATTTCCCATTTCCCCGCCTACCATTCCCCACAGCTGGACCTCAGCCTTGGCTCCCTCTCAGAGGCCATGAAGCAACTCCAGCTTCTTCCCCAGATTATGGAGGAAGTGTCTTACATGCAGCAGCAGCCACACAATGGCAGTAGATCCCCACACTACAGATATTATGCTACATCAACAATCTTGTGCAGGTCACTGGCAACAAAAATTGACTACTCCTTCTAAGAGATTAATGGCCTGATTGCTAGACAAGTTCTGTTTTCACAGCTACACTGGGAAACTCTGAGTGGGGACAGGTACTTCCTAAAAATGTTGTGGGCTACTGGTTCCCATGGCATTTTTACATCCTTTTGTTTATGCATTACTAAATGCTCCTGTAAACGGTTGCTGAAACTAAGCAGAGCTGTGAAATGCATCCACAGACTGTTTATGTGAGTATTGTCATTGAGTAAGTTTGGCTTCGTCAGGATACCCACATTATTACCAGATGAATATCAGCAACAGTGCTACAGCGCTGTTAATGAACATTCAGTGAAAACTTGAATGAAATCTCCCAGAACGAAGATTTACTCACATTTCCTGTTACAAGAAATTGATGTCTTGTTTTAACCCTTAACACAGACTAGTTCAGTGCTTCCAGAACAAGACTTTCAGAAGCACTGGTAGAAACTCAGTGCCTAATTTTCATAGATCAAAGAAGTTAGGAAGTCATAGAGGTGCCTTCAGCCACAGTTTCCCAGTAAAGACCAAGACACCCATCATGTTCAGCTTTACTCTCCAAGGAACAGCTTCTCAGCTGAGCATAAAGTTTCCCCCCCATCTTCTCCCTCACATCTGCCATGGTCTTCACTTCATGAACAAGCTTCAGGGGGCAAAGGGACCCAGAGGGGACCCTGCTAACATATGGCTCCAGCAGGCAGCTGGCCCTTAGTATCCATCACTTCTCACTTCTTCTCCAGCCCTAATGTTTGCTATAAGGTGTTCAGCACAATAAAGCCACAAAATGCCTGGAGTGGGACAAACAAAAAAGCAAACAAGAACATGTGGCACTCCACAATCACATAGGAAAAGGGCACTCCTCTCTTTAAAATCTTGTCATATCAACCACTGTACCCAGGATCCCTGCTCCCCTGGCCTAGGAAACAGGAAAGCACAGTGTGAAAACATTGATTTGAAGCACTGAGTTTAGATGTACTAAAGACAGTCGTAGCTGTGGCTTATGCACACTGTGGTGGAGAGGCATGCCTGGCGTGTTCACCTATCAGTGCAGACACCTCCAACACACCCCCTGGCCAAAGTGACTGCCCGCCTCTCCTGATTTGGAAACAAAACACTGCCGAGCCAATACCTACCCAAGGGATGAAGGGATATCTGTCACTTTGGACTTTCTGTTGAATAAAGTAAGCTACAATACAAAAAAAAAAAAAAAAAGGCACAGTCATCTTTGCTGGCTCTGAAAGCTCAGAGTCTTGTTCAGTGCATGTTTTAATCCCAGCCAGTCCTGCCATGGTGTAGTAATTTACTCTGAGAGTAAGAGTTCTACCTGATGCAAATCAGTGGGGCAGCTTGTGAGCTAGAGCCCTACTGACTGGAAGTAACACTGGTGAAGGCTGGACCTTGTACTGAAGTCCTTCTCTTTTCTTGGGAAGGTCATGTCAGTGAAGAGGAGATGGAAGGCTCCTGTGTGATGATGGGTTGAGCAAATATTTAATATTTTCCTACACAATGTTGGACACGTACTACAGCTGAGATGTCTGCTACTACTTGTAAAATAATCATAAAAAAAGACCTCAGAGGAAAATAATGTATTTATAAATTCATGTGGAAAAAAAAATTGACTCAAACTAAGGGCAATCCTTTTTATATATTGAAATGCTTAGTTCTAGGTTTTGTATAATAAATTTAAATTTGGAAATACTGGTCTTTTGGCAGAAGACTTTTTACTTTTTTTTCTTTCAAAATGGACTTTACAAGAAAAAAAGTTATCTCAATTTCAATAAGCTTTTATCACTAGAGAAAATAAATATTCACAACAATTGTAATCTTATCTTTCAATTTTGATAAGAACCCTGGAAGATTTCGGGAGATTTTCAGAAGGGTTCAGGGGCTTACACTCTGTAGCTTTCTTATTTGTCCAGTGAATCAAAAAACATAACTCCACAATGGCTATGATTTGTCTTCCTGATTTTAAGCATGATATTTTTTTTATGTTATGTTCTGTGTCAGACAGATGTTAATTCCAGTTTTGGCTTCCTAGCTACCATCTTCTGTAATACCATAACTCAGACAAACAGTGTATGGCTGCACCAAGCAGTGCCTTAGTTTACAGTCAAATTAAAATAAGGTCAGGGTAAGGACTCTGCTGATGGGTTTATGCTGTCTCTACAGCCACTCTCAAGCCCACAAAGAGGACAGATTTTCCCAAGCAGAACCCATAGGGAAGCCACATCCACACTGTGTTGGATAAAGATTATGTATAAAAAGGCTTTTCAAGTGAAAATAATTGGGTTTAATTATTTAACCAAAAAGCAAATCTTTACCACATGCCAATATACATACAGAATAGCTAGAGTGAAAGGAAAGTCGATTCAGTATTAATGATTTGTTTATTGCTAGACATGACTGAGCTGCTATTACATCTGTTTTTTCTTTTCAGAGGTTATACATAAGTCCAACACTGAAACACAGTAGAGAAAATGAATAAAGAATAAGAGGAATGTAGACATAATAAAAAAGATTTTGGACATAAAGCCAGCAGACATAAAGAGCTCAGTACATGGAAGAGATTCCTGAAGGAAAAAAAAAAAAAAAAAAATCGTTCAATCTACATAGTCCTCACTTTAGCCACAATCTTGAGTGTAAGTGAGACCTCAAAAGAAAGCAAGAGTTTGGGTCTCTGAGCAAAAAGCAGATGTGAGAACAAGTGGCACTCTGTCAGCTGCATGAGCAACATTGAGGGATGTTTGTGCAGGACAAATAATAGATTATTCATCAAAACACAGTGAAATTCCCTTAAGCTTGATGTCACAGTTGTAATTCTGGATGCAAGTCTGTGCCAGGTGCATGTGCTCTGTAGCAACTGGCCTTGTGCCTTCACCTGCCTGCATAGGTGGCTCCCCTACCTTCAGTCCACCCAAAACAGGGGCTTACCCAGATCACTGGGCTGTGTTTGGACATCACTTCCTTCTCTGGGAATTTTGCCTCCTGGTTGAACATGGATTACATCTAGACTGAGGAGCGGCCGTGGTGCTTGATGTGCCACTGGTCCTGGGCCCCATTACCCAGGCCTCCAGGCCCAATTGCAGGGCCGGGCTGTAGAACAGCACAGTTCCCCTCGGGTTCTTGCTCCAGTGGACACCGGGATGGGAGCTGATGCCTGGCCCAGTGCAACCTCAGCATGGAAATGGGGCATGGGCTGGCTGTGAGACTGGTGGTGAGGAGGTACTCCTGCATCCTGGGCAGGGACACACAAGTGACAAGTTCTCCCAGAATAGCAGGAATTTTGCTCCAGCTGGAAAACCAAGATGAGGATGAACCTCCCCATGTCCACATGAAGACTTGCTTTACAGAAAGGCTGCGTGGCTGCTGCTAGCACCATGAGGTCTCCTCTTTGTTGGGTGTCTTCTCAAACCCTCATGTTGCAGTCTGGACCTTGCTTCTATGCCTTCTTTGCTCTCTTCAGAGAGGATTTCTTTTCAACACTTGCATATTTAAAGTTCTTTTAATTCTCTGCATTCCCCCCTCATGGCCCAGAGTAGTTCTGTAGGCTGTCTAGAAAAAAGGCAAAATCCTCAAAGAGGAATCCTCAAAGCGCAGGAGGCACGGCCCTTTAATAATTCCCAAGTGCCAGCTGAGAGGAAGAAAGGGTAGAGCCCTGTTCTCTGCCTACATTCCCACGCCTGAGACATCCCGACAGCCCGGGCAGCCCCAGCTGTGGTCAGGACCAGGGAGGGTCCAAATTCAGCGTGTGCGGCCAGCCCTCAGCCTCGGCACAAATAGCTGTGGAGGTACGTCCCTCTGCAGGGACCAGCATCTGTGGTGCTGCTTCCACTCTGGGGAACAGTCTGATCGTATTTTGTGGCTTTTGTGTTTTGTTTCCTGTTTCATGTGGCTGTGTGAGGCAGCAACAGCCAAAAGAGACACATCTTCTCCCTGTGCCACCCCTCTTAGACTTACTCGCTACATTTCCTCGGGACAACGCCAACGTGGTGGCTGTAACCCAGGGGACAAGGCTGGGGTCTCCCTCTCCAGACAAGCCCACCAACAGCGGGTCCGGACCAGCTCCAGTAGCTAACCTGGTTCTCACAGATGATTTTGTCAAGCAGGGAAGGGATACAAGAAGAAAATCTTCTTGAAGTTTTCCACCTTGTCCCCATTCTTATCTTCCTTTCAGAGCAGAGAGGGCATCACCTGTGTATCACCACCTTCCCCGGCTCTGCTGTAGGTGCCTCAGATCACAAAATCTGCCCCCCTGAGACACCATGGTCATGGCCCAGCCGGGAAAGGGTGGAGGTTGTCTCAGCCATGTAGGCTCATCACTTACACACATGACAAGGTCCATCCATTTCCCAACAAGATTGCCAACAGAATTCAAATCTTGCCCAAGAGCACCTATGCCAGGCCTTTTGCAACCTTTGTGCTGGGGGAGGCTGCAAGTTGGCCCAGGAAGAATTGGCCTCATTGGGATGGGAATCTACCCGCCCAACAATGCAGAGCTCCTAAACCTGAACTTCCATCCCCCCTGTTGCCATCAGAGTTGCAGGGGAAAACCATGATTCACCTTGCCTAGTTTGGGTACCTGCTTTGGGGCAAGAAGAGTCACATCCTAGATACAGCTACTTCTCTCCCTCCTACACCAAATCCCATACAGAAGAGTTGGTAATAATTTGCTTAGTAGATGGCAATCCATTTAACAAGAAATATCAACAGCCTTCCTTAGTTCATTTACACCTACTGCCAACATACAGACATTTTGTGGGACTGTGTTACAGTAGTCAGTTCACGGATTTAGACCAGCTCTGCTATCATTAGCATGAAATCTCCATTATCTTAATGATTCAAATATGGCCTATAACTCATAATTATTTTTTGTTTGTGCTAATAGTGCACAAATCTTTCATTTCCCAGTCAGTTCAGTTTATGAATGGAAAGTATGCAGACCACAACTTATTACACTGTAGTATAGACAGAACTGCTTTCAGGCACAACTGTCACGTGATGATGTTTGTCTTTTTTAAAAAAAAAAGTTGCAAAACCAATATAACAGAGTGTGGGAGCACAGAGTACACAGCTGTGTGTGTTGCAATACAAGCATGCTGAATTACAAGGATTTCGTGCTTTTTAAACAGCATCCATGACATCTGGGAAATATTTCTTCAAGAATAAGTAGGCACACAATGTCCTGAAAGGTAAATGTCTCCTTGTTTCCCCCAAAGCTTTCCAACTCAGCCAGTTCATGAGTTCCTTGGGAGTGAATAAACTGCAAAATGCTGTCATTTTGGTGCTGTTTCAGAGGTACCCTCTGCCCCTTCTGTAGAAATACCAATACTGGAAAGTGGTGAGTTTGTTTATATCAGATGTACTGAGGTGGACAAGACCTATGAGGACAGTTGCTCCCTCCAGTAGAAATGTTTCATGCTCCACAGCTCATGTTCAGGTTATATTTGCCTTTCTATACTATAATATACATATACCTACCCAAATGCCAACCCCAGGTTATGACCTGATTCACTTCTACATCTTATTCTGGCAGTTACAGTGGAATACTTCCTTATTAAATGTAGAAAAATGCAATTTTTTTTTTTCACCCTTGTGTTGGTTAAAGGTGGATGTTTTAAATTAAAAGCTAGAAATCTAACTTTTCACTTAAAAAAGGCAACTTGAGCTCCAGGACTTTAAGTGATTTTAACTTCAGAAAAGATACGGTTCCTATTTACCCCATTATGACAATGAAACAGAATTAGCAATGTGATGATAAACACCCTGAGCAAAAGTTTCTGCAATGGAAAGATTTAAAGACATGGTCGGGTCTCCTGAAAAAAAAAAAAAAAAAAAAAAAACATTTACCTCAAATGTGCGCAGAACTTTAGCCAGTGCCCCGACTTCTTCTTTCAAAGAGAAGATCAAAGAAATAACACCATTTTTATTTGAGGGCTCTTCAATGTACATAGATTCCTGAAAGAAAAGGACAAGAAAACTTTTAAGTTCACCCCAGGGGCCAGGTTTGCCTTTCTCCATCATCATTTTGCACTGATTCAGTGATGTAGAGAGGACATACAGATGCTTTCAGTAGGAATCAAGGCAACTGTTGCTTCCAGGGACAGCTCTGGGGCTGCTCTTATTTATCATGGTAGAGGCACAAGACCCATTCTTGGAAACTATGTCCCATGTGTAAGGACAGTATTCAAAAATGGGGGAAAAATAGCCTAACTCCATTTCAGCCCTGCTTCACTTCTCAGGTATATCAAGCTCAGGGAAAACTGGAAACATTTCTGTACTTTGTTTTCAGCTATGGTGAAAGATCTTCAAGCTTCCTTTTCATTAATGCTCAGAATTAAGAAGAGCAAGGTAGATTAGCTCTGTGCAGAGATACAGGCCATGATCTGCATTTCCCTTCAGTTCTGTTTCCATCTTCCAGGTAACATCAGGAGAGGTGGGATTCACAAGAGGGATACGGAAATTGGTTTAAAAACAAAATAAGATATCACCACCACGCCCAAAAAAAAGGAGGGGGAAGAAAATGCTATCACAAATTTTAATTCTTCTGTAAATCCTGCAGTGATTAAAGATTCAGTTAGAACAAGACATGTTTTCATTTATGTTTGTTCCTGACTCTTACTGATTTTCTGCTCTGCAAATTCCAAAACACAATTTCCAGTACTCCCAAGCAGGAGGAATGTTTGTTTTAATTGTTTTCATGTTTTAATATGTCTCTGTACACGTGTTTCACAAAACCTTGGTTATGTACAGAAGAGCTATTTCACCACTTTAGGAACAGGAAACTAAGTCATGGAGTGGGGCCAGTTTTTCAAAATTACCTGAGTACTTGACATGGAAGGTAACAGCCTGATGATTTCCAGAATTTCTTAACTTTTCCACTGTCAGCATAAATGGGCTAAAGTTGTGCTAGAGGAGGTTTAGGTTGGATATTAGGGAGAACTTCTTTACCAAAAGGGTTGTTAGGCATTGGAATGGGCTGCCCAGGGAAGTGGTTGAGTCACCATCGCTGGAGGTCTTTAAAAGATGTTTAGATGTAGAGCTTAGGGATATGGTTTAGTGGAGGACTTGTTAGTGTTAGGCCAGAGGTTGGACTAGGTGATCTTGGAGGTCTCTTCCAACCTAGATGATTCTGTGATTCTGTAAATCTGAAGCACAACCACCACAAACTTTTGGAAGTCACAGTAGGATCTTATTTGTGTGTCTGTGGCCTTGGGCAAATCACCCCTGGATGGCATTTCAAAGATCACACCAGACATCAGCAACACAGAGGGTTGTAACAGGGGCTGATGTAACAAGTCCTAGGTCAAGGCCTGACTAAAAGTATCCACCCTTTCAATTTTTCTTTATTAAGACCTACTTTTTCAGTCAGAGTCCATCCCCGCTTTAGCTATTGCTAAATTTAACATATAAATCAGAGCATAAAGAGTCTCAGTTCCCAAATATTGTCCTTAGAAATAGCAAAAGCAGTCTTTGTAGCAGACAGATTAATAATGAAATCCAGCTGCCCAAAAGCCATAAAACTCTTGGTGGGACTACATTTTCTGAGGCAATGTTATAATGAATTGCCTTTTTTTTTTTTTTTTTTTTTTTTGTAAAATAAATAATTCCTGATTCTTCAGGCTGACTTTTAGGCTGCTGCTAATGTGAACATGGAGTCTGACAACAGATTTTTCTACCTAGTTTTATTTCTAGCAGTCACACAGATTATCTAAATGATTTCCATCTTTACAGGGAAACTCTGGTGGGAACTGTAGTAGAAAGATTGGTCTTATGGAGCAGAGGGAAGATTGTCACCTACTCAACTGTGCTGTGTCTTGGAGTATCTCCCTATTCTCTGTTTTCTCAGCCAACCAGGGAGCTGGCCTTGCTCTTAGCTGGTAGGGACCAAGAGGAAAAGCAGTCAAGAATGGTGCAGCAGCTGGCTAATGAAAGCCATTTGACATCTGAGGCAACCACAAGGGAAAACAGTGACAGGAGTCTGTCAAAAAGCAAACAAAATGTCAGTAGCCTGGAAATTTTATTATAGTTAGCGTAACCAAAACTGTCATCCGAAATTGTGGTCCTGCATGGCTTTGCTGTTACAATTTCTCCATCTCAACAAGTTAAATTCACCCTAAGGACAGAACTGAGTTACGCCAGTGTCTGCTTAGTGGACCAAGAATATGGTTTTCATGTTCTGCTCTAGAAATGTTTTAAAAGACTTGTAGTTACATTTTTTAAATGTTCTTGCCAAGGCATGCCTCATGGAGCAGCTTCTGTTGCAGGTTCTCTTGACTCTGTGTGACAAAGGAAGAACTTGTGTTTTGAACATCGGCAGAGGATATAATACAAGGCTCAAGTCCTACAAGGTAATTTTGATATGAATTAATCTCTTTATACAGTGATAGATTCTCATTGGTCACTAGCCTTGATATGCTGAGATCTGCCACTTTTAGGCTATTCTCACTCATTTTCCCACTCTTGCAAATTGGTTTATGTTGTGCTAACAAGTTGCAGAAGGCAGTAGGCACTAATTTTGTAAACATGGTGACAATTGCTTAACATTTTGCACATCTGCATGTGAATGTAGATCACTGGGATGGTCTTTGTACAAAAGTTAGTACATGCCTAAATCTGTCCAGAGAGGTGGAGGCTTTCAGTGCAAGAGGAAAGAAGACTAAAAGCATTATTTTCCTGACAGGTACCCAGATCTTTTCGATATGTATGGAGGCAATATACATCAATAGACATTGGAGCCAACGCATCAACACAAATGCAGGCACTCACATGTATTGCTGAGCTTTTTGTCATATATATGCATATTTTTTAACTGTTGATCATGGCTAATCTGATATGCGTATGTGACCTATAAGTGTATAAGAACCAGTTGACAAATACAGACAACCATTTCTGGACCTAGCAGTCTCTTACATCAGTGATGTGTAGATGCAGGGACAGTTTGCCTGAGTGCAATGCAAATCTATGTTCTTAATTACCTACTTCATACAGAGATTGATATTTCCTTTCTGACACATGGCAGTTTGGGAGGTCAATAATACAGACCTGTCAGCCTTCAACTCATTTCTGAGTTGTTTAACCCTTCAGTGTGAATTCCAACACTGCTGAAGCTAGAGGAAGTTTTTTTTCTGTAGTTTCAGAGAAAGTGAATAGTATACAAAATAGTATAGAAATAATAGAAATATAGAAAACTTTGAAAAAAAAAAATATTTCAATGGAAATAAGATTCCAAAGTTACTCTTAAAAATTGAACAAGTTTCCAAGCCATTTAGAGTCCATTTCCTAAGGTAGCTAGATGCTCAGCTCCCACAGATCTCACTGGGACCAAACGATTAGGCAACTTGGAGAAACAGCAAGGTGGAACAGTAGCGTATCCCTAGGGGAATTCAACCTCAGCACATGAAGCAGTAGGAAACCAGGCTTCCTTGGCTGCTCTGTACCTAAAAAGACTCGTAGGAAATGAAGCCCGTTTTTTCATATCTTCCACAGCTTGTCCCCAGCTTCAGAGACATTGCACAGGACAGAATTCGGTCCTAATAATTAACCAGGCTGGCCTCAAATTATGTCACTTGCTCCTACATTATCTATAGTGCCTGTAATCGAAAGTCATAGGTTTCAGTACTTTCCTGTATTTTCCAAAATAAAGAGTTCAAAGTAAGTCAATAAACATCCAGGAAAAAAAAAAAAAAAAAAAAAAGAGCGGGGAGGGAATATATGTCAGAGTGCTAAAAGTTACCAAATAGCTCCACCAGAAGAGCACATAATTTCCCTAAACTAAAGAAGACAGCTTGTTCTCGTCACACAGGTTTAAGAGACCTCTAATTATTTGCTGGTCTTTTCTGCTGCTTCTTCTATTTGCCATGTACGCAAGGATACATTTACAGAGGTCCCCTGACCCTGATCTGTTGTCTCTCCTTCCTTTCCCCTGTTGGAATGTTTTCATTTTTGCTCTCACCACACATTTGTGAGCACAATTAACTCCAGACAAGCACGCCAGCTGCCAAAGGGAACAACGGTGGCACCCAAACACCAAAAGCTGTTGAGACAGGCGTGTTGTTTCCTCCCATCTTGGGCATCTTAGAGAACGGGAAAAAAGATTTGCAAGCATGGAGGGGCACAGAGGGACTCCCTGCGAACAGCAGGCACACAGGCCCCACTGCTTACCTGGAAAAGTTCGCCGTTCATCTTGCAGTGCTGCGCGTCCATGTTGCGGAGGCAGTGATGCCCACACAGGGAGGCTGCGGGTGAAGCCTTCTGACCTTACCGTGGTGGCCAGAGCTCTGTGCAAAGGTATTTAAAGTGGAGGAAGCGAGGCAAAGCCATCCCCTCCTCCAGCTCCCTCCCCCCAGATGCTGTGCCAAGGGGGCGTTCTCCCTCCACGCCCCCCACCCACCCAGCCCTGGCACATGGACAAGCCAGCCCCTTCGGTCCCCCCCAGCATGTAGCAGTTCTCCAGCATATTGTTTCTATCTCTGCCCAACGTGGACGAACGGCATGCTTTGAATTAGCAGCCTTCCTTCCCCTGATCAATGTCAGCCGCTGCTTTCATTCCTGTACATCAACGCTTTGACTTGGGTTCAGCCTTCCCCCTCGTCTGTTCCTGCGGCTGTGTGTGTGTTTAGCGACTGGTGGGTTTCCCTTCCATGTGATTGGAGATCAGATGTTCTCTAGGAACCTGTCTGCATGCCAGACACGGGGCACAACTCAGCAGCAGCTGGACTGTTTGTCTTTTAGTGAGGCCCTTTGGGCTGCATCCAAGAGGTCAGAGAGCAGGGGACAGCTCTGCACACCAGCCACTGGAGACAACAGAGGCCCAGTATAAAGCATTAAACAGGTGTTAACTTCATGAAACTTGCTCTGGGATATAGAACTCAACATGGAGAAAAGGAAGAAAAGGAGCAGGGAGGAGACAGAAGAAGTGCAGAAGGTGCGCATGTGTTTTTAGGTATGTCAACCATGGAGAGCTACAAGGGGAAGAGGGGAACATGAATGAATTCGGAAATGGTTAGTAAAGGGTTGGTACAAACCAGCCAACACTTGGACTGGAATGAGTCACCAGAGAGACTGAAGGAATGAAGGAAAGTTATAGCCTGATACTAGAGGGCAGGTGAAAATAAAAAAAGAGAATGGTCAAGGTCTATTTTGTTATTTGGAAGGTTGAAGTCTACACTAAGACAGGCTATGTCACAGCAGGTAATCTTGCTGCATTTTTCTGATGAAGATAACTTCTGTGGAACAAAAGAATCAGCCCTTCACAGTTATTTGAGCCTTGAGGGAAATTCTACTGCATGCTCCAGAACAAATTCAGACTGGTAGATTTTAACCAAGACTTGCCATGAATTATTTGTAATTATGAAATCCAGTAGCTGGAAATCTGATCAGTAGGGAGGCACTTGCAAGAATCTTGGTCCAAACCCATGTTCAACCCCATGACTATCAAGTCAGAATCCAGCCCAATGAAATTATGTACTGTATGATGTGCATCTGTAGTAACTCAGAGCTTTAGACACAAAACATACATTTTTCAGAGAACCTTCTTCTTTGTCCATCCTATGGCCATATGCACAGGTAGAAAGTGACTTTCTGAGATGAACTGCAATCCTATGTTATAGGCTAGCAGCAAGGTAGGCAACCAAATATAATATACATGTGCCACCCTGGACATTGCTGTCACCAAAGCATCAGGTTGGGGCAAGGAGAGGTGGTGCAGTATGTGAAGGGCAGGTTGACCTTGCTACCAGTATTAAAACTACTGCTTTTGATCTGTTCATCCAACAGATTCACTATGGGAGGCAGCATTTTGTGTCCTGTGTTTGTGCAGCACCCAGCACAGTTCTGTCGATGCCAGGGGCATTGAAGGCCACCTCACAAAAAAAAAAAAAAAAAAAAAAGTGAGATGAGGATGGTGATAACACTGATTATAGTAGTCCCTGTGTAGGGCAGGACAGCTTCCAGTAACTGTTCTTGTTTGCTTTTTGCTTTGCCCACATGCCGTGCCTCTCTACATGGTATGTTTTTCAACTAGATTTTAAAACAGATACATGTCCTAAGTCTGACCAAAACAGCTATGTCAGCCAAAGTCATAATCTTTTTTTTTTTTCAATCATTTGTGCCTTCCTTTTTCTTTGTTTTTCTCTTTCTACTAACAATTGTTCTTTTTTACCTTCTCTGAGGCTTTCACATGCACTGAGTCTTTTTCCTTTCTTCCATCCCTCTCCTCCCCCTTTCTTATGTTTTGCACTTTCTGTTCACTCTACCTTGACAATAAAGACAAAGTAAAGTGAAATACTAGATACACTAAATATTGCTCGTGCTCAATCCATGTAATTTGTTTGTTGTTTTTTTTTATGACTCCTCCCACACTCTGTTTTTTCTATTTATATTGCAAGCTTATTTCTTATTGCTACATAATCATAATGATATCACTAGCGTGTTGCCACTGGTTCACAGGTTAATCAGCCTGGACCTTCAGAAATTGCCTGGTAGCAAAAGGCATTGGCTGAGGGAAGCAAAGCTCCTTCTTGCTAGGAGGAATTCCCAAATTCTCTTGTTCTGGAGCAAAGTAGTGTGTGAGTTTGTGTGTGCATGCATGCACAAGCTAGCATTTACTCCAATGCCATTGCAGCATGAACACGATTGCATCAGTTCTGGTTACTTTGGACCATTTCTGAATCCAGATTTCCTGAGCACTCTTTGAAGTCGTAGTTCAGCCCCCCAAGTGTAAGTTCATTGCCCTGCCATGATATTGCTAACTGGGATTTCCCACTTGCATTTCAAGTTGTCCCACAGCTCTGGTTCCACAGCCCGTGGGTGAGCACCTGAGCCTTGGGCTCTGCTGGTCCTGCTCTGGGCTCTTGCTGCAGCACCGTGCAACCCCGCTCCTTCCCTTCCAACCATGTGCAGGTAGGCACCAATGTCCTGCATTGCCTTCATCTGAAAGCACCTTCTGTCCCTCAGAAATGCACGCCCCACACACAGCCATTTCTGGCCGTGCTGCTCAGCCACAACTAAAAGGGCTCTTTGCACTGAAACTTGGCTGGTTCCCTGGACGGCATGCTGCAAGTTCAAAGGGCCACAGACTTTGGCTGCTTTTCAGACTGCTTTCTCCCCTTTCTGCCTTTAGGCAGAGTTTGGAGAGCAGCATCTTACCCGGAGCTGAGTTTTTTCTGGCTCAAGAAGGGATGCGAGGACACCGGGACTATCCTTGGCCTGTGGCTCCCTACGGGTTCGGGGTGTCCCCATCGGGCTGAGTGAGCAGTGAGCGATGGAGAGGGGCTTTTCTAGAAGCTGCTGAAAAATTCCCTAATGATGATTGAATGAGGACGTGTGAACAAGGCAGAGGGGTGTCCCCGGTCGAAATTCCCTAAGGATTTCCCAAAGGTCTCCCGGTGCAGTAGCTCCCTTTAGACACCAACCGAGCCTCCTATCCTCCCACCCTCCGGCTGCAAAACCTCCGGGCCATGTTCCCCGCTCCTGGCAAGAGCCGGGCTCGCCGCCCGCTCCTAGAAATGCCTCGGGCTTCCCCCTGCCAGCCCCGCTTTCCCCTGCGGGTGGCCGGGAGGTGGCACTGTGTCCCCGCGACAGCGACCGACGGGTCGGGGACGGGGACTTGGAATGGGGACAGGGAGGCGGCTGCACCCCCATGCCCCCGGGGGGGGGGGTCCGCCTCCCAGGCTGCATGACCCCAACCCCTCTCCATCCCGCGGACTGCCACCTCGGAGGGGACAGCCTGGGGAACCCACCCCTACCGCCCTCCGCTCCTCCGTCCAAAATTTTCCTGTCCAAAAAGTGTGTGTTGGAGGGGTTGGGCGGCGGGCGGGGGGGGGGGGGAGGAGAATGAGGTTGGAGGGGGGGGTCAGCCCGGTGTGATTTATCCCGGCCGTGATGGACGCGGGACGCGTGGCCGCACAATGGGGCCACCGGCGGGCCAGGGGCAGCGCTCGGCGGGCGTGGGGCCGGGGGGCGGCAGCGCCCTGCGGGACCCGCGGAGGGGACATCGGGGACGGGGACGGGCTGGGGTGGGCGGCTGGGGTGGCTGCTGCTTTCCCCCCCCCCCCCCCCCCCCCGTTCCTTTTTTTTTTTTTTTTTTCTCGCAGCCCTATATGCAAACTGTCACTTCAGGTTAGCACAAGACCTGATGTAGCTCATTAGCATGAGCTGTATCTAATATGCTTAAAACCTCTAATTATTTATTATGCCCTAATTGGCAGCCCAAGAAATGTCTCCAAAGTGATGAGGGTTCATCCCAAGGCGCCTTTTCGAGAAGAATTCAGCAGTGTCCCTGGTCAAACGTCATTTTTAATTCTTCATCGGTGGTGCAGGCTGTATTCCTCTGGTAGACGATACAACACCAAAAACTCCTGAAACTTGCTGTCCCGGGAAGTAGCTTCCATCCACCCTGGGCAGGACGGGCAATAATTAGTCACCAACACGTTTTAATGCTCAAAGTCCTTCTTTCTTTAAAGGCATGCTTAGAAAGAGACATTTAAGTCTATCAAGTATGCAAAAATGTATGCAGATGCTCCTTGAAAATGGCTTACCCGAAGGAATAGTCACCGGGAAAAATCACTTTCCTGCCTCCTAAAAGTAGGAAAGTTTTGAAAATTATATTCACATAGAAACTGTTTCAAAATAAGTTCGCCACTCTGGGGTCCCCCGCCCCCTCCCCTGCCTCCTAATTGCCTTTTTTTTTTTTCCTTCCAAGTCTGTATTATGTTTCTTTGGGTTGCGCCAACTATTTATTTATCTTTATTCTTTCCCTCTTTCTTTTCATTCATTATTCTCTCTCCCTCTCTTTTTTTTCCTTGTGTGTGTGGCTTCTCGGTCTGATCTGTAGCTTGTTACCACCCACTGCACGCTCTCTCCTGCAGCCGAGGTGTTTCTATACAAACTTCAGCGTCCAGTTGTCATATTAATTATTACACTGAGTAATGACTGAAATAGTCAAAATAAGGGGAGACTCAAGAGAGCTTTTTCTTGCTGCTCAAAGATTCAGCAAAGAAGCCTTGCAACAAAGCACTAATTGGTCCCCAGAAATACTCTGACAAGGCATGGAAGATAGGTTTCATAAAGCCCAGCAATTGTGAAGGGGAAAAGATCCTTGAATAGACCCCACGCTTCTTTTCTAAACTCTCTTGCTGAGCAAAAAATGGACTGCTTCTTGAATACTGGACTGATCTTGAATGCTATACCCAGCAGAGAAAAAAATGCACCATTTATTGTAAGTTTTTTTCCAGCTATTCATGTGTTCTATGTGGAGAATAAGCTGGTTTTGTTTACCATGAAAGACCTTTTACTTTATTTTCACTCTTGGGGGGGAAGCTGGAAGAAGGGGGGGGGGGGGGGGCGAGGGGAGGGAGAGAAACACATGTGCCCAAATCCAGACGAGCTGCCTACTGTAACAAAATGGAGTGTAACAAATCCTACAGAAGTCCCGAATGTATCGATTCTTTGAAGATCTATATAGATTAACGACTTTCGTTCTGCCTTTCCAAGACAGCATTTAATCATAACGTAAATGGCCTTTAAAAAAAGAAAAGGGGTGAAAAAAAGCATACCAAAGTGTGTTTTTTTTTTTTTTTTTTAAAAAAAAAAAAAAGGACTTCAAAAGACTTCATGAGTGTGGCACACAAAATTTAGGCACATAAAAAAGACACTATAAAGTAATGACAATTCAAGATTAAAAAAAGTAGAAGAAAAAAAAAAAGAAAAAAGAAAAAGGGGAAAGTCCAATAAGACCAATGAAAAGGGCAAGAGCTATTTATCATTATGTTAGAATTAAGAATTTCAAGGCGCAGGTGCAGGACTGTGCATACAAGTGGGTGGAGGCTGGGGACCCCGAAACACTATTTATTATCTATAAACCTGGCAGCCCCAGGCCCCTTACTCTGCGAAGTGAGCAGATCAGAAAGATGCCAAGATTGGCATTACCTTAGACAACACGAAGGATGAGCTTGTTCCACTATGGCAGCAACTGGAGAGGGGCATGCTCAGTAAAGGGAGGAAAAGGCTCTTCCCCCATTGCCCCCCAGGCCCAGAGAGCCAGGGGAGAATGGAGCTTTGGAGGTGAAATTACATGCAAGTTATACGTGGTGACCTCTGGGACTCACGCCTTTTGCCTTTTTAAGAGCTCTTGTTCAGAGCCCTCTGAGACTCAAAAAAGGGGGACCCAGAAACTCTGGTCCATTTTGCCATTTGGGGAAAAGGGCAGGAATTTCCATGCCACAGTCTTTTCACACTAGTTCTGGCAGTGGACTACTCCGTAAGTATTACCCTACGTACATATATAGTCTACAAGGCTGCAATTAATTTGGTACTTCATTTTCTGATATCTGTTGCCACTTTCTAATGCCACTGGTGCATTGCTGTTCTCTCGCTCCTGTAACATCACAACGTGAAGCCGATGATGCAACTGCTACTTCCAGTGCAGTGAGGTCAGACAAGGGATGTCCCTGACTGAATCATCCAGAATACTCGGAACTGAGAAGAGAGAGCTTCCTATGCAGAGACAATACTGAATGCTGCATGCCGGTTGTCCTGCCAAAAAGAAAATAAAATCACTTGGTAGATTTGGTGTTTGATGAGACAGCAAGCTAAAAATTAGAAAGATACTCGGTGGCCACTGAGGAGAACCCTGAAATAAACAGCATGACAGAGGTTAGACCAGAAACCGTCTTTTTCATCATGCATCTGCATTAAATGGTGCCATGCTAAATATTGCTAAGTTGGCAGGTGCATATTAATGTTCTGCCACACAGAGTTGCTGCTTATCGCTGTTAAAGCCACGTGCCCAGCAAGGGTCAGGGCTCCACGGGCAGAGGAGGTGATCTTTGCAGCCTCAGCTGCTGTAATTGAGGCCAGCAGCAGAGCAGGGCTTGTTTTTGCACTCATTTCCACTGACACCTGAACAGCTCAGGCTGTGCAGGTCCATTCCTGCCACGTTTTGAGGCTGGTGTGAGCATTGGGCACGACAACCACTTGCCAGGGACTCCCTAGAGCCATATTTCCTCCAGTGGCAAGGTGGTAAGGCAATGGTCCTACTTCTTTTGAGGGTTAGATTGTACGTATCTCTGAGTTTTCAGAGTGCAGAGGTGCTCAGAAAAAGGTGGAGATCATACAGCTGGAGACAGAAAAAGGAGTAACAAGCTTGAACAAACAGGTGGGTATGTGCAAGGCAGGAGGGCGGGGATAGAAAGACGTGCTGGGCTCCTCGCTGCTGCATGCACCAAGACCAGGGCCACCAGCGTGTCCCAGTGCTGAGCCTGGCGGTGTCACCCAGGCCACCCACATTCCCACAGCCGCAAAGGGCGGTGTGACCCCCAAGTCATGCCAGCTCCAAGCTCTCAGCCTCAGTGCTGCTTTTGCACAGTGAGACCTAAGCCTCAAGCAAGACTTTGCCTGGCATCAGGGGGAATTTCCCCCTGCGTAGGGCAGGGCCACCCTGAATCCCCAGTTGCAAACAAATGCCGCTTGCATCGGGCAGCGAGCACACTGTGGCCTGGGGAATGGGCTGTGTGGCCAGGGGAGAGCTGTGTCTGCACATCCACCTGCTCGCCATGCTCAGCACACCCCGACTTTACGGTGCCCCACAAAAGAAACCTCCCGCTGCCGCGCTGACAGCCATAGGACATCCACTCTGGACTCATCCAAGTGCATGCACTTCCTTCTTTCCCTCCAGCCACGCTCACCCCACGGCCCCCCACCTTCCAAAAACCCACCTCGGGACTCCACACACACTCCTTCCCCCACCACCTCCCAGCTCCCCTCCTCCTAACAGCCCACCACCGCGCACCTCCCTCCTCTCTCTTCCCGCACCCCCTCTTCCCCTCCCCAAATCCCCAAATCAAATCCCCTTCACCCCCTAGACGGACCCGGTCCCCCCCCCCCCCCAGGGGCTCCCCATCCCCGCGCATCCCCGTGCGCGCCGCCTCCCGCCCCGTCGGGCCGCGCCCGCCGCCGCCGCCGCCGCCTCCTCCGCGGCCGCCGCCGCCGGCGCCCCGGCGCGGGTGTTTGCTCAGGGCCGGGAGCGCGGCACGCGCCGGGCGCACGCACTTGCAACAACAAAACCCGCCGGGGGTGGGGGCGGCGGGGCGGGGGGGAGGCGGGGGGAGACGGGCACCGAGGGAAAGGGGGGGAGAAAAGGAGGGGGAAAAGGGGGGGGAGAGGCGGGGCCGAGCCGGCGGCCAGCGCGTGTGCGGCGGGGCCCGAGGGCTGCGGGAGAGGGGGGGGGGGCATGTAGAAAAGGGGGGGTGTTAGTGTGTGTGTGTGTGTGTGTGTGTGTGTGTGTGTGTATGTGTGGGTCCCCCCCCCCCCCTCCCCGCGCTGCAAAGGCGGCGGCGCTCGGCAAAGCCCGGGGAGCGTGGAAGGCGCAAGGTGCAGAGCGGGCGTGTGTGCGAGGGGGAGGGCGGGGGGGCAGCGAGTGTGTGTGTGTGTGTGTGTGTGTGTGTGTAGGAGAAGAGGGGGGGTGGGGGGGGGCGAGCCCCGTCCGCCCCTTATAAGAGACACAATCCCCAGCCACTTTTTTGCAAAAGGGGCTTTGCAAAGCAGCCTGCGCACACGCGAGCGCCACGAGCCTCCCCGCGGCCGCCGCACGGAGGGCGAGAGGGAGGGGGGCGGGCAGAGCCGCCCGCGCTCCCCGGCCGCCCGCCCGGCACCGCCGCCCGCTCCCCTTTGTCGCCGCGGCCCCTCTCCCCCTGCCCGCCTTCTCCCGTCTCCTTCGCTAAGCGACCGCCGCCGGCTTTTTCCCCCCTTTTACACACGTCTCTCTTCTCCTTTTTCTTTTCTTTTAATTTTTTTTTTTTCCATCTTTTTGCCGCCGGGGGGCACGGGGAGCGGCCGCCCCCCCGCCTCGCACGACGCCCCCCGCCCCTCGCCCATGGCCAGCGGTAGCCCCGCCGGGATGGCGAGCGGCGCCGGGCAGCCTCCCTTCCTGCAGCCTGCCTGCTTCTTCGCCGCCGCCGTGGCCGCCGCAGCCGCCGCCGCCCCGCCGGGGGCGCCGCCGCCGCAGCTGAGCCCCGCGGGCGGGCAGCCGTCCCCGGGCGGCAAGCCGTCGGCGCCGCGGGCCGCCAAGCGGCAGCGCTCGGCCTCGCCGGAGCTGATGCGCTGCAAGCGGCGGCTGAACTTCAGCGGCTTCGGGTACAGCCTGCCGCAGCAGCAGCCGGCCGCCGTGGCGCGGCGCAACGAGCGGGAGCGCAACCGCGTGAAGCTGGTGAACCTGGGCTTCGCCACGCTGCGGGAGCACGTCCCCAACGGCGCGGCCAACAAGAAGATGAGCAAAGTGGAGACGCTGCGCTCCGCCGTCGAGTACATCCGCGCCCTGCAGCAGCTGCTCGACGAGCACGACGCCGTCAGCGCCGCCTTCCAGGCCGGCGTCCTGTCGCCCACCATCTCGCCCGGCTACTCGCACGACATGAACTCCATGGCGGGCTCCCCCGTCTCCTCCTACTCCTCCGACGAGGGCTCCTACGACCCGCTCAGCCCCGAGGAGCAGGAGCTGCTCGACTTCACCAGCTGGTTCTGAGCGCCCCCCGACGCCCCCCGCGCCCCCCGCGGCAGGTGGGTGCGCGCCCGCGGCCGGCCAGGGGGGCTCGGGGGACGCGCAGCCGTCGGGGACGGGGAGGGGGGCGCGCAGCCGTCGGGGCCCCGCTTGGTCCCCGCGCGGCTCTGACCTCCTCTCTCTTTTCTCCTTACAGGCCGGTTGCAAAAAAAAAAAAAAGAAAGGGAAAAATATCACGCACGCGGGCGCGGAAAGCCGCCGCCAAGCCAGGACCTGTTGCGTTTCGCTCTCCCCCGCCGTCGGAGGGCGGTGCGGGCACGTCTCCCGGCGGGACGCTGCGCCCCCCGCGCACAGCGCTGAGCGCCGCGGGGGCCCCTCGGGGCGGCCGGAGCCCGGCCGGCCCCTGCGCACCGCTCCCGGCCCCGCCAGCACCGAGAGAGCCCGGCGGAGCCGCTGCCCCCCCCCCCCCCAAACCCCCCCGGGAACGGCGACCCCGGTCCCCCGCGGCCAGGCGCTGCGCTCCTCGGGGCTCTTCCTCCTGCTGCTTCCCCCCCGCCAGACGGGAGCCCCCCTCCGCACCCCATCCCGGCCGCCTGCAGCCCCGCACAGCCCGGCCTTCCCTGCTCTGTGGACGAAGTTAGTTTGCTGGTGTTCGTGGAGATTTTGAAATTAAGCTATGCTGTACTCAAAGACACCCCCCCCAACCCTCAAATCCCGGCTCTCCCCCTCCCCCCACCTCCGAGCTTTTCCTCTCGTTTTCATCATAGGATGCTTCCAATCTTTTTTTTTTTTTTTCTTTGTGAATTTTTTTATTATAAGAAAATCTATTTGTATCCACCCTGACCAGTTTGGGGATATATTAAGCTATTTTTGTACATAAGAGAGAGATTTATAGAGGTTTTGTACAAATGGTTTAAAATGTGTATATCTTGATACTTTTTTTAATATGTAATGCTTATTACCTCTTCATGTTTAGACGTGTAGTCGACATTACCTTACAACTGCCATTTTTGTATGTGGTTTTGTAAAGGACTTGGATTTCCTCCAGATGTACTTTAGCACCAACGTGTCTTACTTTATAGAAACTTTGTTAATGTATTAATAATGTTATTAAACAATGTTCAAAGTGAACAAAGTTTATGCAGCTATTGTCCAAACGCAAAATGGTAGCCATTTGTTTTTATATGCTGCCTTTTGAAGAAAAAAAAGAAAAAAAGAAAGAAAGAAGCAAAAAGCAAACAACAAAAAAAATCCCTTATGCCACTGCCTTTTCTTACTGTTTTATTACAAACTTACAAAGGTCCTGTATAACCCTGTTTTATACAAACTAGTTTCGTAATAAAACTTTTTTTAATTAAAATGATCAGCTGCCTGCTGCATGTAATTTTTTTTTCTTTCTGCCATTGACAACAATGAATGTAAGGACAAAATGTTAAATGATGTTATGCCAGAGCTGAGTTGCATATGAAGTGTTTGTATCTGATGGATGTAACATATATATCTTTATCTATCTCTATATAAATATGCAAAGATCTCGCGCTATCACCATTGTTTTCTTGCCCTTCTGGGTTACAAACGTGTATCCAAATCAAAAGGCGAGGGGGTGATTAATGATTGCATTGTCCTTCCCGAAATCACTGCACATTAAAGAATTCCCCCAAAAGACCGGGTCCTAAAGAGAGGGCGCCCTGACCCCGTCCTCCGCAGCTCTCCCCTGGCGGGGCACGAAAACACGGGGGAAGGCGCAGCCGCCGCCGCCAATAACACGGGCGACTTTGTTGCCTCCGCGAAGATAGCGGCTGGATAAATAAAACCGTCGGGGGAAGACGGGAAGCGAGCGGCGAGGGGGGAGATGAAATGAAATAAATAAATAAAGTAGTAGAAATGGGTGGCAGCTCGGAGACACTGGTCTTTCTAAGCTTGTTATTCTACCCAAATAGCGTGATCTGCGTGTAAAAGTACCCAATTACCAAGACTCAAAAAGAAATTGGACCCCCCCCCCCCCTTTTTTTTTTTTTTGGCTAGCCTGCTTGTTGTCAGTTAGCAAGGACGTGACCAGAATTCGCCTCCTCC